ATTCCAGAACGGTTCTTTGCATTTGTGCGGCCCGGCCGACAATCGTATGCATCGCGCCACGAACTTTGACGGTCCGGGATTGTGCATCATGGACAAGATTGAGAAGATGCCAGCACCTACGATGCCACGCCATCCTTCAAAGACCTCGCAAATGTCTCTTGGCAGAGAATGCTGATTCTGGTAACATGTTCTGACTCCAACTCTGCCACCTGATCAGCAATGTGTGGTCCCGACTGTCAATGCTTCTGAAGTTAATTTTCTCATGTTGTCTCCATTTCTCTGAATCTTTCTACCATCTTGAGGTCTTTTGAGCCTGACCCTGAATTCAGCCGTAACACAACTGAGAGCGTGAAGGACTCTTGGCAGAGTTGATTCTCCAAGACACACTCTTCTTTCCATTGAATGCAGTGAAAGACCGGCTGTGCTGACTTTCGTTGGGACCAATTGGCAAAAGCAACACCTCCTTTTATGTTTGTTTTCAACACGTTTTCAGTTTTCAATCATGACGACGATGATGCTGGTAGCAGTACCAGTGCTGACTCATCGGTCGATCCTGTTGATGTGCAGGATCAGCTTATCACATCTCCATTGTTCAATGAGAAGGTCTTCAGGGCTGTTTGTTTGGACGTCAAAGCATCTTACGTTTCCGGGACAAAATTAGGGGGAATCTGAGTGTTTCTGCTTTCGAGTGGGCTGTAAAAGATGTTTCAAGTTGCCCGATGCAGATCAGATGCATATCGCCAGATGATCTTGTCTAGATAGTAAAGTCCAAAAATTCTTTGGCACAGAAATGCAAAATATTGTACATACAGAAACTCTCACCTTTGCATGGCAACGACATGACTCCCCTTTCCCCTTGAAAGGAGCATATCACACCGACGAAGCAGAGCAAGAGCGTCGTCCACTGGATTGAGGACCAGCTTGTACCACATTCTGTTGCTGCTAAACTGTTCGTGCACTGCTCAGCAGCTGTTTTCTGCACATTGGTTCCCAACGGTCACAAAGAAAGGCAATGTGTTCTTCCTCCATAAAATTGCACCAGGAGCAACCTGCCATGGCAGCATCAATGGCACTGGCTCTCACCAGTACGATCATTGCTTTGCGCAAGTCCATTTGAGTTAGCCTGTGACACAAAGATTGGACGTGAAGTCCCAGTTGATGCAATCTTTTCATGTCAAGAAAACACAGAACTAGAGGCTTTGAGATGTTTTGAGATTGTCTTGTTGTCAACAGGTCTGGATAAGACATTGGTTTCAGACAAAGGACAATTGAACACAAGTCTGGGAGGGACCCACAGGATACCTACCAGGTTCAATTGATCTTTGTTTTGTTCCGGCTTTCTAGCCAAGTTCCTTGCCGCTGATTTAAAGCGGTCCGGTTTCGGGAGTGAACGGCGAAATGCATCAAAGTGCCAGAGTCCCGGTCAAATACTTGGCGACACTTGGTGGAAATTGAATGATAGTGAATCATAATGAATCTTTCATTGATGATCGGACATGGCTTGATCACGTCGCGCAACTAGCGCACCGCTACTTGAGCCCAAAAGAAACTTGGATCTCTTGGGAGGTCCCAACATTTGAACCCGCACAGAATGGGCCGGAGTGAGGAGCGTTTTCAACGATGCAAGAGCGTCATCTTTGTGCTTAGCGCCTTGAGACACTCGAAAATCTCTGAACATATTTGAATCACTCGAAATTCAACAACTTCAAATGATTTGAAACCTTCCCTTAGATTTGGAGGCAATCCTCAAGGTTGCATGCAGAGCCCGCCGGGCGAAGCGCCTTGTTTCAAGCTGAGTGCCAACACCCGGAGCCCAGCTGGCAGCTTTTCGGCGGATACCCCGTGCCGATGCATTTCGGCAAAAAAAAAACATGATTCCAGAAAATTGGAACCTGCTAGAAATGAGACCAGTATTTTCATCATATTTGGGATTTCATCACAGTGAATCTCAGATCTGATTCAAAAGTCCAGAATGATGGAAAGAATCAGGTTGTCTAAAGAAAGAGATCACTGGAAGTTGAACCGAAGTGACATCATATTGCATCATATCATAGTGTATCGCGTCACGTCATGCCACGTCCTGCCACGTCATGCCACGTCATGCCACGTCGTGCAACGTCATTTTTGCAGCCGTTTTGCGCGTTCCAACTCTCGCACCCGCGAAAGTTCTCGTCATGGCGACTCTGATTGGACAACTTCCGGTGTGGATCGGTGCTACTCTGGCAACGTGGGCAATTTGTTGGACCCTGGTGAGCCCTGAAGCATGCCAAGATTCACCCGCTTGCACTAAGCACTTGAAGACATACCCAGGTGACACGACTTTGTTCCATATTTTCACTTTTCAAGATCTGGACACAAGAGTTTGAACATGTTTGGACATGTTTGGACATGTTTGGACATGTTGAAGTCCTTTGTGGTGGCCGAAACAGTTGTGTGTGGCAGAGGATACTACCACATCGTATCCACGGCTGCTTTGCTCGCCATGGCTGGACATGAAGTGTGCGGTCTCATCGCAACTTACTTGGGCTCTCAACAAACACAGGCTTTGATCCCTCACTTGAAGAGCAGGTGCTTGTCCCTCAGCTGCAAGTTTTCTCAACATTAGCATGCTTTTAGCATGTTTCTTGTATTGCTTCAACCGCGATGGATTCAAGATGAAATTGCCAAACTGTGGAATTTGATTTGAGGCCCAGCTTTCTGTTGGCCTTGATGTTTGGTGTCCTGGCATGTGCTGAACGACTCTTCTCTCGTGCTGACTGGACCATCGCACATGTTCAGCCCAACGCTGATGGACTGACTGCTCCCGGCCGTCCTGTCTACACCATGCAGCAATCAGGATGCAAGAAGATGAAAAAGAGAATGTAAGAGCCCATTTCTGCCAAGGATAAACATATATAAACATGTTCATAGCATTTCATTGCCACGTTTTTGGACCTTTTCGGTAGAACCTTCCAAGGATGCCTTGATTCACAGACCGTAAATATCTTTGGACTCCTTATGTTGACGTGGCCAGATACTCTCTGCAGGTACTTTGAGTGGGGGATCAACGTTCCAATCCTCTTCATTTTGTCAGGGTATTGCAGTTTGGGTCGGCCTTTGCATGAAGTATCACGTCCCTTGATCGTCACCAACATCTATGTCATCTTCTCTTGGGCAGCAGCTGCTTCAACTTCAGGATTGCTCAAATGGATGTGTCTCTTCTGCACATTGAATTCCAAACTGAATTTCTCGATTTCTAGTTCTCTGAGAATCTCTCAGAGACACTTTTCTTTCTTGGGCAACCGGTTCAACCGAGGCTTGTTTTTGTCGCATTTGCCCTCTTCGGATGGGCATCTGCTGACATGTTGGCTTGGGTTGACAAGTTCGAGCGTTCAGCGCCCCAAGACCTACCAAGCCGTAACATTCGACCCTGGCTCTCCAACGGCTTGATCATCGAACTCCTGCTGTACGGCGTCGTTTACATGTCATCCATGCTGGGATTGATCGACGCGCATACCGAACGCAAAGGCTTCTTCGTTCTGACTTTTGGTTCCAAGATTGCCTACTGTGCAGCCTTTGTCTTCATTCGAGCTGATGAATATCACAAGACTTTGACTGACGTTCTGCGAAAAGTCAGCGTTTCCAACGTGGGCATGTTGGCAGCACATTAGAGAATAGACGCAGATGTTTGGAGATTTTTCTCTTTGAAGCATGCTTGTTTCCATTTCTGGGAGACTCTCAAAGATTTGATGCCGTGTTTTCTTGAGCCTTGTGTTGAGCCTTGTTGAGCCTTGTGTCGAATCTAAGGCATGATTTCGATTTTACGTGGAAGTTTCGATATCATCCTGCCGTGCGTTTTGGATGCTGCTGGCCGTTGCAAATTGCCCCCGCAGATGTCAGGAGATATGGAAAAACTGGAGAAGATGTTGGGCTGCCGCGTGGCCGGCGCCAATTTGAAGGATCTTTTGGCTGGGGAAGACACTTTTCCAAGTTGGCACAAGTTTTTCTGATTTCAGAAGGCCTTTCAAAATGTGAAGCAGTGAAGACCTATCGTTGAATGTTTCGAATTTTCCCGATTCCGATTTCATGAACTTGAATTCATTTTAAGATCAGGAAGACAAGTCAGACTTTCTGCCTACGTTCGAAACGTGGTTCGCCAAGCCGATTGTCCTCAAGGAAGCGAAGTGTCTTTGTCTACTCAAGGCATTTGGACATGCTCTGCTGGATCTATGCCACCAATTGCACAGGTCCTGCACAGCAACTAGGTTGCAAAGTCGATATTGAGATATGTTGAGTATGCAGCCGTGAGACATCTCTTCGACACATTGCTCCCACTATTTTGGAGTCACCTGCAATTTTGATCTCTGAGGCAAGATGATGTCCAAGACCAGCCAGAGCCGTCTTTCTGCGACTCTCCATCTCTCTGTCGTGCCACGTTCAGCCGTGAGCCACGGCAAGGAACGTCATTTGGTGGCCGCTATTCAATTCGCAGCAACCATGGACTCTTGGCAATCGAAAGGATCTGCATTTGTCATGATGTCATCGGGTAGATGATGTGCACAGAGGTGTTCACAGCATCTGAAAGTGATAGAAACCTAGATAAGCTAGAATAGATTATTTGGAAATAGTTCGGACTGAGTTCAAAAATGTGGCACCATGTGAGTGAATTTCAGGACGAGTCAAAGGAAGCAGACACTGGAGCAGCTGGCTTTGAGACCTTCAAGGTTCCGACACGCAGAGCTGTTCCATACTTCGCTCAGTTCAATGTCATTTGGATGTTTGGTTTGACAGCACACGTGAGATTCAAGATGAAGGAGGGATGTTGGTTGTTGATTTGCCATGTTTTCTAGATGTGTTGAATGTGTTTCTTGTTTTTGATGTCATCCTGACAATGTTGTCGGCTTTCCTTTCTGCAGTCAGTTCACCCCCCATCCATTCAATGCAACTGGAGATTTCTTCGTTGCATTTCTAATCTTTGTTCCAGCCTCCTTCTTGGTCCGCCAGAGGCAGATGACATCCACACCTCTACAGGTGGATCAACCAAGCCTTCGGACACTGGTTCAGCCATTGTGGCCAATTTGGCAGATCTCACAAAATTGGGAGCCTCCGAAACTCGACTGAACTGGCTGTGGATTCTGCAGGTTGTGTTCTGCATGTGACACGTGACACCTAAGTTGACGCGCGTGAAGACTTGCATGTGAAGACATGTATTGAGAACACAGTGGTTGTGACTATGGCCCTGTTCGCCCAAGTTTATGTTGCAAGATGTTGCAAGAATGCAAGGCGATTCTCCATGCAAGCTCTGTGCACGAGAGCGAGGAGGCAAGCCAATACTGGGGACCAACCATGGTCACCGATGACACTCGGCAATGAAAGAAGTTCTTGCAATGCGATGCACGAGGCACACAACTGTTCAGACCAAGTCGGGTGACACTTGGTCACGGTGTCATTGTTCAACTTATCATGTCTTGATTTTTGTAGACTCGTTCCAGGACACCATGTCGCACTTGGGCGCTTTCGCAGCCGAGAAGACCCCGGGGCAAGTGGGTTCTGTGCCTTTCAATGCCCGCGTTGTCGGTGTTTGGGAAGGCAATACCAGCAAGGCCTTGGGAGGTTACCGTCAACGCATCGAATTCCACAATGAGACTTGGCAAAGATTCTCCAAGAAAGCTCTTGGTGTGCATCGATGTGGCTATGGTCCATTTCCGGCCCGAGTCCGTTTGGGGTCCGTGGGGTCCGTGGGGTCTGTGGGGTCCATGGGTCCGTTTGGCCTCAATTGGCTATCCCCTGATGAGGTTGGGAAACTTGTGTACCCTCTGGTAATTGGTGGTAGCTTGTGCGGTATGTTGTTGCAGTGTTTCGTTACTGCAAGTAGTAGTAGATATGTGTATAGTTGTGCATCGATGTTCATGTATGTTTCCATTAATCATTCTGAATCTAATGTTCATCTAATTGGCATCTACTGTTCACCCATTTCCTGCAAGTGGATTGACGCACTTTTGGTAGAGGATTTCTCCACTAAGGATTGCATCCATGCAAACGTCACAGTGATGGGCCAAACTATGGAAGCTCGATTCCGTATGAACTGCTCAGTCGAGCCTTGCCAGCTTGACATTGAAGTCCTGCCCAAGGGAACCAGTTGCTACTGGGTCCAGAATTGAGTGCAATGTTTGTAGGTTTAGGGAGGATTTCTAGATGCTGCATCTCTGAAGAGGCCGTTTCTTGAGAGTTCAGTTTTTGAAAGGAATTGTTCCCTGTCTGGAATCAAGGCCCTCCACCAGCGATTCCTTACATTTTCAAATTCCAGAACGGTTCTTTGCATTTGTGCGGCCCGGCCGACAATCGTATGCATCGCGCCACGAACTTTGACGGTCCGGGATTGTGCATCATGGACAAGATTGAGAAGATGCCAGCACCTACGATGCCACGCCATCCTTCAAAGACCTCGCAAATGTCTCTTGGCAGAGAATGCTGATTCTGGTAACATGTTCTGACTCCAACTCTGCCACCTGATCAGCAATGTGTGGTCCCGACTGTCAATGCTTCTGAAGTTATTTTTTCATGTTGTCTCCATTTCTCTGAATCTTTCTACCATCTTGAGGTCTTTTGAGCCTGACCCTGAATTCAGCCGTAACACAACTGAGAGCGTGAAGGACTCTTGGCAGAGTTGATTCTCCAAGACACACTCTTCTTTCCATTGAATGCAGTGAAAGACCGGCTGTGCTGACTTTCGTTGGGACCAATTGGCAAAAGCAACACCTCCTTTTATGTTTGTTTTCAACACGTTTTCAGTTTTCAATCATGACGACGATGATGCTGGTAGCAGTACCAGTGCTGACTCATCGGTCGATCCTGTTGATGTGCAGGATCAGCTTATCACATCTCCATTGTTCAATGAGAAGGTCTTCAGGGCTGTTTGTTTGGACGTCAAAGCATCTTACGTTTCCAGGACAAAATCAGGGGGAATCTGAGTGTTTCTGCTTTCGAGTGGGCTGTAAAAGATGTTTCAAGTTGCCCGATGCAGATCAGATGCATATCGCCAGATGATCTTGTTTAGATAGTAAAGTCCAAAAATTCTTTGGCACAGAAATGCAAAATATTGTACATACAGAAACTCTCACCTTTGCATGGCAACGACATGACTCCCCTTTCCCCTTGAAAGGAGCATATCACACCGACGAAGCAGAGCAAGAGCGTCGTCCACTGGATTGAGGACCAGCTTATACCACATTCTGTTGCTGCTAAACTGTTCGTGCAGTACTCATCCCCTCCCTTGTTTAAAGGGAGGGGGGTTGTTCGAAGGGCGGGGGAGCGCTTGTTTGAATGCGTTGTTCCAATAAGGGGCATCTTGTTTTCGAAAAAGACAAGGCTAGCAGCAGCAGCAGCAGCAGGAGGAGTAGTAGTAGTAGTAGGAGTAGGAGTAGGAGTAGTAGTAGTAGTACTACTGCTACTACTACTACTACTGCTACTACTACTACTACTAGTAGTAGTAGCAGCAGTAGTAGCAGTAGTAGCAGTAGTAGCAGTAGTAGTAGTAGTAGTAGCAGTAGTAGTAGTAGTAGGAGGTAGTAGGAGGTAGTAGGAGCAGTAGGAGCAGTAGAGGTGCTAGTGGTAGTGGTATCAGTAGCGGTAGGGGCAGTGGTAGTGGTAGCGGTAGCCGTAGGGGTAGTGGTAGTGGTAGTGGTAGCAGTCGTCGTCGTAGTAGTAGTCGTAGTAGTAGTCGTAGTAGTCGTCGTAGTAGTCGTCGTAGTAGTAGTAGCAGTAGTAGCAGTAGTAGAAGTAGTAGTAGTAGTCGTAGTAGCCGTCGTAGTAGTAGTAGTAGCAGTAGTAGCAGTAGTGGAAGTAGTAGTAGTAGTAGCAGTAGTAGTAGTAGCAGTAGTAGTAGTAGAAGTAGTAGTAGAAGTAGTAGTAGTAGTAGCAGTAGTAGTAGTAGTAGGAGTATTGGGAGTAGTAGTAGTAGTAGGAGTAGTAGTAGTAGTAGTAATTTCAACCTCCCCTTCTTCGCACAAGCCTCTCTGGAATAAGCCCCCCCTCCCCTTCATCCCAACCTTATAGATGCGGTCTCCCCAACGGTCACAAAAAAAGGCAATGTGCTCTTCCTCCATAAATTTGCACCAGGAGCAACCTGCCATGGCAGCATCAATGGCACTGGCTCTCACCAGTACGATCATTGCTTTGCGCAAGTCCATTTGAGGTTAGCCTGTGACACAAAGATTGGACGTGAAGTCCCAGTTGGTGCAATCTTTTCATGTCAAGAAAACACAGAACTAGAGGCATTGAGATGTTTTGAGATTGTCTTGTTGTCAACAGGTCTGGATAAAAAAAATTGGTTTCAGACAAGGGACAATTGAACACAAGTCTGGGAGGGACCCACAGGATACCTACCAGGTTCAGTTGATCTTTGTTTTGTTCCGGCTTTCTAGCCAAGTTGCTTGCCGCTGATTTAAAGCGGTCCGGTTTCGGGAGTGAACTGCGACATGCATCAAAGTGCCAGGGTCCCGGTCAAATACTTGGTGACACTTGATAGTGAATCATAATGAATCTTTCATTGATGATCGGACATGGCTTGATCACGTCGCACAACTAGCGCACCGCTACTTGAGCCCAAAAGAAACTTGGATCTCTTGGGAGGTCCCAACCTCTGAACCCGCACAGAACGGGCCGGAGTGAGGAGCGTTTTCAACGATGCAAGAGCGTCATCTTTGTGCTTAGCGCCTTGAGACACTCGAAAATCTCTGAACATATTTGAATCACTCGAAATTCAACAACTTCAAATGATTTGAAACCTTCCCTTAGATTTGGAGGCAATCCTCAAGGTTGCATGCAGAGCCCGCCGGGCGAAGCGCCTTGTTTCAAGCTGAGTGCCAACACCCGGAGCCCAGCTGGCAGCTTTTCGGCGGATACCCCGTGCCGATGCATTTCGGCAAAAAAAAAACATGATTCCAGAAAATTGGAACCTGCTAGAAATGAGACCAGTATTTTCATCATATTTGGGATTTCATCACAGTGAATCTCAGATCTGATTCAAAAGTCCAGAATGATGGAAAGAATCAGGTTGTCTAAAGAAAGAGATCACTGGAAGTTGAACCGAAGTGACATCATATTGCATCATATCATAGTGTATCGCGTCACGTCCTGCCACGTCATGCCACGTCATGCCACGTCGTGCAACGTCATTTTTGCAGCCGTTTTGCGCGTTCCAACTCTCGCACCCGCGAAAGTTCTCGTCATGGCGACTCTGATTGGACAACTTCCGGTGTGGATCGGTGCTACTCTGGCAACGTGGGCAATTTGTTGGACCCTGGTGAGCCCTGAAGCATGCCAAGATTCACCCGCTTGCGCTAAGCACTTGAAGACATACCCAGGTGACACGACTGTGTTCCATATTTTCACTTTTCAAGATCTGGACACAAGAGTTTGAACGTGTTTGGACATGTTTGGACATGTTTGGACATGTTGAAGTCCTTTGCGGTGGCCGAAACAGTTGTGTGTGGCAGAGGATACTACCACATCGTATCCACGGCTGCTTTGCTCGCCATGGCTGGACATGAAGTGTGCGGTCTCATCGCAACTTACTTGGGCTCTCAACAAACACAGGCTTTGATCCCTCACTTGAAGAGCAGGTGCTTGTCCCTCAGCTGCAAGTTTTCTCAACATTAGCATGGTTTTAGCATGTTTCGTGTATTGCTTCAACCGCGATGGATTCAAGATGAAATTGCCAAACTGTGGAATATTGTGGAATTTGATTTGAGGCCCAGCTTTCTGTTGGCCTTGATGTTTGGTGTCCTGGCATGTGCTGAACGACTCTTCTCACGTGCTGACTGGACCATCGCACATGTTCAGCCCAACGCTGATGGACTGACTGCTCCCGGCCGTCCTGTCTACACCATGCAGCAATCAGGATGCAATAAGATGAAAAAGAGAATGTAAGAGCCCATTTCTGCCAAGGATAAGCATGTTCATAGCATGTCATTGCCACGTTTTTGGACCTTTTCGGTAGAAACTTCCCTGCGGCAACTCTGCTGCTTGGCATGCTGCTTGGCATGTTACTTAGCAGCAGAGTTGCAACTAGTAATATTTCAAAATGCAACGCGATGCCACTTGTCCGAATAGGGGGGTATGAACGCTTCACTCTTTGCCAACATTGTACAAAGAAAGGCAGGACATATCAGTGAGCCCATTTCCTTACAAAAGGATGGGTTGCTGGTTGAAGACAACAGAGGGCTGAGTGAGGAAAACGCAGGGAAATGGCAGGGCAGCAGGTTCTTACAAAACGCTTCCTTTTTTGGGGATCAGGGTCCAAGCATGCAAGCAAGACTCATATTCAGAATAGGATAGAAATCAAAATTGTTGGCAAAATATGTGCAAAATATCCCTCCCTACAAAATGTTACGTGCAGTCTCAGTTTTTTCCGAACAAACCCTACAATTTTGTAAGGAGAAATTTTGCTTCCCATTCATTCTGCAGGCTTTTTGCAAATCCCCACGCTTTATAGCTACTGTGAATTGCATGCCGTGCAGCTGAGGGCATTCAACCATTTGTGTTTCATATGTGGCCTTATCGGCCCTAACTTCCCAAATCCCACAAGGGTGGGCACTTTAACCCAACGTGGCTGCGCATGGCAGCTTGGAAAAGCTGCGCTCCTTCGCCGTGCTGAGCTAGGACTTTGGGTTTGGTAGCGGAGGCGCTTTGTGTGGCCTGGTGGAGCCCTGCTGCATCCTGATTGCAGAGCTCTATGGTGGGATCTGATTGCCGAGCCCCACTTCCCTGAATGGACTGCCGCGGCTGGCTCGTGCTACTTTCAGATCACCTTGGACTTTAATTTACTGAGAATGACATCGGCATCTTCATCGCCCATCTCAGATGTTTCGACCAGAGATAGTTTCATCCCACTCTGCACCGGGCAACCCGCTGATTATAAAGAGCTGCGGAAAAGAATTCACATCTACCACCGCAAGATGACCCTCACGAAGCGAGCTGGTGAGTCTTTGCTGAACATCGTCGGAAGCCTGACTGGGACAGCTTGGAGACTCTTGGGGGGCTTTGACCTCGAGACTGCCGAGACGCCCGGGTCCTTCGAAGCTGTGATAAAGATCTTGGACGGCCACTTCGAGTACGATGCCAGAGTTCAGCTGCCTTCAGACTTCGACGGCTACTTTGGACTTCAACGGCGACAAGGGCAAACGCTCCTTAGCTATGTGTCCGGACATGCCGAGATGCACAAGGAGCTGGTGAAGCATGGAGTCAGCTTGCCGACAGCTGTGCAAGGCTGGAACTTCTTGCGTCAGTGCGGATTGACGCGGGAGCAGCAATCTTCGAGCACCGGCCGTGCAGGCGCTCTACTTGATCTTGGGTCAGGACTATAGACAGTCCACTCTGGGACATCCAGATCGGCGCTGGCAACGTGGAAAAGGTGGTCGTGCCTGACTACGACCCGGAGGACTGGGACTACGCCCATGATGCCTACTGGAACTATATGAGGACTACATCCAGGACGAGACCTTGCACCCTGAGTATGACGACACTGGTGACTATGAGGCGGAGTTCGGCTACTACCAGAGAATGATCCTGATGGACTGGAGACGGAGCCGACTGAGTCCTTCGACGTGGAGGCCTACGATGAGGCTGTTGCGGCCTACTTAGATGCCAGGAAGAGATTCAGCGACCTGAAGCTGTCGCGCGGCTTTCTGCTGGTGGTTGCGTTGTCTGATCCATCAGCAGGCAATCTGTCACCTGGGACTTCATCGCCGACAAGGTCATCAGGAGGTGGATCCCCAAAAGGGAAGCCTGGGAAAGATGGTGGAAAGGAAAAAGCAAGAAAGGGAAACCGAACATCTACAAGTACGACAAGCCACCCATGAAAGCAGCTCAACCGAACCAGAAGGCTGCGGCTATGTTGCAGTGCTTGCGCTGCGGCCAGCCTGGACACTTTGCGGCAACCTGCCCTATCAAATCCAAAGGCTCGAAGCGGCGTGCAACCGAGTCGATGGCTCGACATGATGAGAATGCCATGGTGACGTTCGTTGACAAGAACGGCACGGAGAGGCTCGATGTTGCTCTGCTTGAGCCTGGTGCTTCAGCTTTTCTATGTGGCTATGGGCCGATGTTTCGCTACATCAAGCACTTGGAGCAGCGGGGATTTCCAATCAAGCAGATCCTCGATCTACAGGTGTGACAGGAAGTTCTACTTCGGTGGAGATGCGGCCAGCTTGTCTCGCTGGGTTGTCCACATGCCGCTCTTCGTCAATGGCCGATTTGGATTTGCTCAGGTGTTCATGGTTCCTGGTGAGACTCCAATTCTCTGTGGCAGACCGATCATTCAGCAGCTCGGCATCTCTGTGGACTTCGCGACCGCGAAGATTCGTTTTGCCGACGGAATGCGGGTGCCCTCACTGATGGGCATGCATGGAGAGTATCTCCTGCCACTTTGCGCTGACTTCGAGATCTACCACGACACCTTGGAGCCTCAGTTTGACCTGCACTTGGCAACTCCTGGAGAGATCGACATCAAGCCCTGGGCTTTCAACGAGTTCAACAACGAGGAGACCATCTTCACTGCGACTGAGGAGCCAGGGACCATCACTCCTGGAACTTTGAAGTGTCAGTGCCACCTGCTGAACACATTCGATGTCAAGCTTCTTGAGGAGATAGATCAACAGCCACCACAGCTACCTGATCTCAGAGCTTCATCGACATCGAGGCCGAGTGATTTGGGAGGTCCTCTGGAAAGGGTCGACTCTCACAGATTGCCGAGACCATGGGTGGGATCGTCAGAACCTTTTCTTTGGAGACTGGCTGGAACTTTGATGATCCACAACATCGGAAACAGTTTTTGGAGCTGAAGAAATCCGAGTGCCCAGATGAAGTGTTTCTGTCCCCAACCTGTGGACCCTGGTGCAGCATGCAGAACATAGCTGCCCGGACCGATGAGCAGAAACAACAACTGGCGCAACATCGGGAGTGGCATCATGCACCTCAAGTTCAACCGCAAGGTGTGCCTGCAGCAAGTTCAACAAGGAGGCCATTGTCACCTGGAGCAACCTGCCTATGCCCAAAGCTGGAAGACAAAGGCCCTCTATGACCTGCCTGGTTTTTGAGCTCACTTCGATCAGTGCCAGTATGGAGCTGAATGTGAAGATGTGGATTTTGGTCTGGCGACCTGTCAAGAAGCCCACAGCCATCCAGACCACCAAACGGGTGCTGTGGCAAGAGTTTCAAAAGCTTTGCGACGGCATGCGCCAACACTGTCGCTTGGAAGGATCTTCACCTTCAACTGGCCGAAGAACCAAGTACATGGAGAACTACCAGCCGACTATGGCCGGCATCCTTGCAGCCTGCCTGATGGCTGATGAACTTCCGGTTGCTTGGGAGTTTGCCGCAGCCGCTGACGATGAGAAGAAGCAGCTGGGAAGCTCGGTCAGGCTCATGGTTTTCAGCCGTGCGAGTTGTCCAGCGTCTTCACCCTTCTCCAGAAGCTCTCACTGAGGTGCTGGAAAGCCGTGGGGCGAGCGACGTGGTCATCAAGTGCGCTCGGGAGTACAAGTGTGTGGCCTGTGCTCGCTACAAGAAGCCTGATGGAGTTGCACCTTCTGCACTGCCCAGGGCCAAGGAGTTCAACGAGCAGCTTCAAGCCGACATCTTTGGTTCAAGATCAACGACAACAAGGTGCCTGTGCTTAACCTTGTGGACGAAGCCACCAAGTACCAAGCTGCAACTGTCATTCCAGCTGAGCGTGCTGATCACTTTCAGCAAGCTATGGAACGGATATGGATTCGACACTTTGGCTGCCCAAAAGTTCTGGTCACCGATTAGGGCAGAGGCTGGAATGCTGATCGCTTTCATGACTGGACCAGCGATCAGATGATCGAACATCAAGTTGCACCTGGAGAGGCTCAGACAAGACTCTCCCTGGTTGAGCGCAGGCATGCAGTCCTGCGCAAAGCTGCCGAAGTCTGGATGGAAGATCAGAAGATGGTCAGTGTGGACGGCCTCAAAGCAGTCCCTGTGCTACGTGGTGCCTCAACTCAATGCTGCACCAACAGTTTGTGGCTTCTCACCAGTGCAATGGCTTTATGGACTTCAACCTCGTTTTGCAGATGATCTACGTGGTGGCTCTCTGGGACCTGCTCATCTTCAAGGGAATCAGAGCTTTGAAGAAAGCCTGCACAAGCGTGCCATTGCCAAACAGGCCATCACCAAGGCCAAGACTGACCGCAAACTCCGAAGAGCCATTGAGAAAGTACAGGAGCTAACACAATAGCTTGGTGGTTGGCCAAACTTGCCATTTCTGGCGAGATGCCAGAGCTGAAGACTTGGTGAAGGTTCGATGGCATGGACCTGCAAGAGTCGTCATGGTGGAAACCGATGATGAGGCGACGACCACGCCTTTACTGGCTGGCCTTCAAGACTCAGCTCATCCGAGCGGCCCCACATAATTTGAGACCCAACTTCGAGGACATCAGTGCTGGGATTGATGGACTTGATGCAGCACGATGTGATGTCGATGGACTTCGCTCAAGGGGGGTCACAAGGTTTCTTGACCTGTCACGGCTCAATCGTCGCAACATCGACGACATCGACGGTGACGAGGGGGCCATGGATGATGATGGACCTCGCAATGATGATGATGATGATGATGATGATGATGGGTTTCCAGTGGAACCTCCACCAACCAGGAGGCGACTCAGCGAGAGCGCGGAGGGTGATCGCCCAGGTCTGGACTTACCTGGTGAGCGGTCGGGCTTGGACTCACAGCCCTCGGCACTGGATTTTGCCGGTCCTCCTGCGATCCTTGAAGTCGAGATCCTTTACACATCGCCAAGGTCAAGGTTGAGCCGAGCACCAAGCCTGGCATACTCACCTACAACAATGGCCGGGCCAAACACACCAAGGATTGAAACTGATGAGGAGGAGCCCAACGTCGAACCACCTCATCCTGGCACTGCGCCCAACACTCCTGGACGTGATCCACGCGCTGTTCAATTTGATTTACTACCACATCAAGATCCACATCAACCTGGACACCAAACACTACTTCCAGTACGACGGCAACCTGATTCACCACTACCAAGAGCAACATCAACTCCTCCGGAGCAATCTCCTGGTCATGGATCTCAACTTGATCCTGCAATGGCATCACTCTATGAGCCTGCTGGTCCAGATCGATTTCGACTTCAGCGCCAACGACTTGATCAACAAGAGGCTTCGATCTTTGGACCCATTCGATGTCGTCGAGATCAACACCAACGACCCTATGACAAAGATGATCCTGGATCTGCCGGTGGTCCAACTGAGGGCTATGTGCAAGCCTTCGACATCACCTGAACTCAAAGTGAACATCTACCTGATGGATGGCACTGTGGTGATGATGGAGTTTTCAATCTCGCTGAAGACTCAATGGACTAGTGGGTAGTCAAAGCTGGCTGTGTCATTCGACATCATCGACGTCCCCGTCGAGCACTCTTCAAGTTCAAGGACTACATGGACACTCGGGTGGACCCAGAGCTTGGATGGACACTGTACAACGGTGCTTTGGAAAGCTGATGGGAACTTCGAGATCATCAGCGACAAGGAGTCCGAGAGCAAGGTCATCGACAAAGAATGGACTGGCTGCACGATCTTTCAGATCACAGGCAAAGCCCGCAGAGAGATGGGAATGTTTGCAAACCTTCCAGCCAAGAAACTTGGACGCGAGGCCAAAACCAAGATGGCCCGACAACAGAAGAAGGTCGACAAGGGAGGCGTCAATGAAAGACATCTATGCCGACCGTGCCAAGTTCCAAGAGGCAAAGCGGAAGGAGTTAGAATCTTTTTCCACAACCAGGTTTGGGAGTTAGACACGGCGGACAACGCGATCCCCAAGGGCCAAAGCCAGACAGATTGATTGCGCGGGGTTACCAGGACTATGATGCCTTGTCTAAGGGCCTGGACACCAGTTCACCAACTACATCCAGAACCTCCCAAAACTTCCTGCTGAGCCTGACGGCCATACTGGGATGGAATGCATGGACCTCTGACATAGCAACAGCCTTCTTGCAAGGTGGCTATCAATCAAGGAAGCTTTGGGTCAAACTGCCGGCTGGTTGCCTTCAGCTACTTGGAGCCCCCTCAGCTACACGCACGCTGCTGCTGAAACCATTGTATGGGCAGCTTGACGCCCCAAGAATGCGGTGGATTGAAGCCCAACGGCGATTGAGAGAGCTTGGACTACGCCAGCATCTTCTTGACCCTTGCCTATGCCGAGGAGCCTTGAAACGACGGCGCAACTTTTGGTGAAGGCCGACTTTGCGGCGCGATCTGCCTGCATTTGACAACATGCTGGGAGCTGGGTCACCTACCTCAGCCACCTATGCCAAGCTGGTGGAAGGACTTCGGGCATTTTTCAACTTTCGAGAATGGAAAGATGGTGAACGCCTGGAGTACTGTGGTTCTGTTCTAGAAAAAGGTTCCTGGTGGAGGATTGAAGCTTCATCAAGAAGCTTACCTTACTTGGAAAAGTTCACCCTGTGACCATCCAGAACGCTGGTCCTAATACCGACCTCACCGCCAAGGAGATCACTCAGCGGCCTGCTGTGCAGTCTGCGCCTCACTTGCAAGCATCAACTTCGATCAGCTCGGGAATGGTCAACAACGGGAAGGTGAGCACCGAGTGGATCTTTGAAATTACCATGCGTGGCAAGATCATCACTAGCAGTCGAAGCTCAAGCTGCTGCCTCAGCCGCAGATGCCACTGACTTCATCTGCAAGTTCTACAGCTACCTGGAGAACCCCAACCGCAAACTTGGTGATCTACTCGGTCAAGAGAGCAGTCTCCGACCGGTTTTGGTGACTGATGCCAAGGCCCTCTACGGCAGCTACCACCGAGAATCAGTGACTTCAAGCGTTACAGATCGGAGAATTGCCCTTGAGGTCAGAGTCAGCAAGGAGCTGGTCATGGAGCTCAAGGGTGAGTTGAACTGGGTGAGCAGTGAGCGCCAATGGGCTGATGGACTTACAAAACTCTCTGTTGCGAGTCGTCTTGGGCCCTATGTGGCGGCGAAGAGAAACCGGCTGCTGAGAGACAGCAGAACATGGATGAACAGGCGGCACCACCTCCAAAGAGAATCCAATCGATCGACGAAGATGTGATAGACGAGGAAGCTATGGACGAAGCTGGGGAAAACTATGAGACTGTGGATGAGAACCTGCCGACCGAGACCTATGAGAATGAAGATGAGAACATGCCAACGGAGGCCTACGCCTACATGGTCTACACCAACGACATGCTGGAGTATGTTGACGTTGCCTTCTCAAAGTCCAAGGATGTGATAGAAAATTCGGAGGCGATCCTGAATGGGATGCGCTACTACTTCATGGACACTTTGTCCCAAGTCGGCACTTTGCCGCAACTTTTGAGCCTGCTGGCTTACATCTCCTAGTGGAAGACGGTCCTGGGCCTGCTGCTCCTGATCTTTGTGATCTACATGATCCAGAAGTATGTGAAGGGCAAGATGGAGAAAGCTTGTCAAGATGGGTATCGAGCCGCTCAAGGGGAGGCCTATGCCGAGATCCAACAGAGTCGGGGCCTGGCCATTGTGATGAGTGGCATGGAAGAGACCTACAACCGGGTCCGACAGCAGTATCGGAACTTCTGGAGACCTGTTGGTTTGACTGCAAAAGCACCTCTCAACTTGTGTTTTCCCCCTCGTATGAATCGCACGCCGTGCAACTGGGGGCATTCAACCATTTGTGTTTCATATGTGGCCTTATCGGCCCTAACTTCCCAAATCCCACAAGGGTGAGTACTTTAACCCAACGTGGCTGCACATGGGAGCTTGGAAAAGCTGCGCTCCTTTGGGAGCCTGGTTCTGGGATTGGCTGCTGCTGCCAATCTTACAGCTACAATGTGGGCCCTCACCCCTTGGGGTGAATTTCAAGGGTGATGAATGCCTTGATTCACACACCGTAAATGTCTGTGGGCTCCTTACGTTGACGTGGGCAGAAAATCTCTGCAGGTACTTCGAGTGGGGGATCAACGTTCCAATCCTCTTCATTTTGTCAGGGTATTGCAGTTTGGGTCGGCCTTTGCATGAAGTATCACGCCCCTTGATCGTCACCAACATCTATGTCATCTTCTCTTGGGCAGCAGCTGCTTCAACTTCAGGATTGCTCAAATGGATGTGTCTCTTCTGCACATTGAATTCCAAACTGAATTTCTCGATTTCTAGTTCTCTGAGAATCTCTCAGAGACACTTTTCTTTCTTGGGCAACCGGTTCAACCGAGGCTTGTTTTTGTCGCATTTGCCCTCTTCGGATGGGCATCTGCTGACATGTTGGCTTGGGTTGACAAGTTCGAGCGTTCAGCGCCCCAAGCCCTACCAAGCCGTAACATTCGACCCTGGCTCTCCAACGGCTTGATCATCGAACTCCTGCTGTACGGCGTCGTTTACATGTCATCCATGCTGGGATTGATCGACGCGCATACCGAACGCAAAGGCTTCTTCGTTCTGACTTTTGGTTCCAAGATTGCCTACTGTGCAGCCTTTGTCTTCATTCGAGCTGATGAATATCACAAGACTTTGACTGACGTTCTGCGAAAAGTCAGCGTTTCCAACGTGGGCATGTTGGCAGCACATTAGAGAATAGACGCAGATGTTTGGAGATTTTTCTCTTTGAAGCATGCTTGTTTCCATTTCTGGGAGACCCTCAAGGGTTTGATGCCGTGTTTTCTTGAGCCTTGTGTTGAGCCTTGTTGAGCCTTGTTGAGCCTTGTTGAGCCTTGTTGAGCCTGAGCCTTGTTGAGCCTTGTGTCAAATCTAAGGCATGATCTCGATTTTACGTGGCAGTTTCGATATCATCCTGCCGTGCGTTTTGGATGCTGCTGGCCGTTGCAAATTGCCCCCGCAGATGTCAGGAGATATGGAAAAACTGGAGAAGATGTTGGGCTGCCGCGTGGCCGGCGCCAATTTGAAGGATCTTTTGGCTGGGGAAGACACTTTTCCAAGTTGGCACAAGTTTTTCTGATTTCAGAAGGCCTTTCAAAATGTGAAGCAGTGAAGACCTATCGTTGAATGTTTCGAATTTTCCCGATTCCGATTTCATGAGCTTGAATTCATTTTAAGATCAGGAAGACAAGTCAGACTTCTCTGCCTACGTTCGAAACGTGGTTCGCCAAGCCGATTGTCCTCAAGGAAGCGAAGTGTCTTTGTCTACTCAAGGCATTTGGACATGCTCTGCTGGATCTATGCCACCAATTGCACAGGTCCTGCACAGCAACTAGGTTGCAAAGTCGATATTGAGATGTTGAGTATGCAGCCGTGAGACATCTCTCCGACACATTCCTCCCACTATTTTGGAGTCACCTGCAATTTGGATCTCTGAGGCAAGATGATGTCCAAGACCAGCCAGAGCCGTCTTTCTGCGACTCTCCATCTCTCTGTCGTGCCGCGTTCAGCCGTGAGCCACGGCAAGGAACGTCATTTGGTGGCCGCTATTCAATTCGCAGCAACCATGGACTCTTGGCAATCGAAAGGATCTGGATTTGTCATGATGTCATCGGGTAGATGATGTGCACAGAGGTGTTCACAGCATCTGGAAGTGATAGAAAGCTAGATAAGCTAGAATAGACTATTTGGAAATTGTTCGGACAGAGCTCAAAAATGTGGCACCATGTGAGTGAATTTCAGGACGAATCAAAGGAAGCAGACACTGGAGCAGCTGGCTTTGAGACCTTCAAGGTTCCGACACGCAGAGCTGTTCCATACTTCGCTCAGTTCAATGTCATTTGGATGTTTGGTTTGACAGCACACTTGAGATTCAAGATGAAGGAGGGATGTTGGTTGTTGATTTGCCATGTTTTCTAGATGTTTTGAACTAGTTTCGTAATTAGTATTTCATTTCATCCTGACAACGTCGTCGGTTTCCTTTTTTCCCCACATCATTGTGTGGAGATGGGTGGGGTTCTTGTTTCCGTTCTGCATCCCGCCTCCTCTCCTCCTCCTCCTCCTTCTCCTCTCCGCCACTTCTTTGTCACACACAACTCTACAAACAGCATTGTCGCACAACTTTGTCAGACACTTGCTCAGAACTGTCATAGCGAATTCTGATGTGGAATGCATCTGACGTGCAAAAACACCAACAATTAAAGGACCGGATAACCCCACATGTCAACTTCTTCCAACAAGCAGCAAAAAGAAAGGTAAAGATGGCATTGGGAAAGCAGGAAATAGAGAAGAGATGGTGAAGGATTGGCGTGTCCAACCAGGTGAATGATTTGCATCCAAATAGAAGGCCAGCTAGACAAACAACACTGAACACACTAATCCAATAACATCAAGTCGCCTTAGACAGCGCCAGCTCTTTCGCAATAACATCCACGTCTAGACCGGTATGAGTACGTTGTGTATGGACAAGTTGTGTTGAATGCATGTATGCATGCATGCATGCATGTATGTATGCATGTATGTATGTATGGATGGATGGATGTATGGATGCATATATATATATGTATGTATTTATGTATGTTTGTATGGTAGGTCCGCAGGCACGCTTATTTTTTCCACGAGCGGAGCGGCGGCATGGGCGTGATGAAGATGGAGATGAAGTCGGTACCTGGCAGAACAACAGAAAACTTCGGCTGTCATGAAGATATTTTTTCAGAAGCACAGATTGAGAACAGATACATGAGCACCGTCAGCTGCAACAGCACTAGCAAAGATGACGACCGCAGCGTGCTGGACCTGCCAAGCGACTGTGGCAAGTGCAGTAATGTAGCTCCCACTGAAAGCTGGCAACACAAGAACAGCGGCAACCGATTGCACAGAAACTGTTCTAGAGACCACCTCCAAAAGACGAAAGCAAATCGACATCAACTACAATGAAATTGGTGAAAAACATTTAGATACCATCTCCGAAGGATGTGCGGCACGACGAAGACGATGCAAAAGTACCTGCCAGCGATGCGTGGCTGCGAGAAACACAGGCAATGTCATCCATGAAAACGGAACAAAGAAAGCATTCATACTGCACAACAGAGCTATGCAAGAAACAAAGTATACAAGCCTGCGTGTGAAAGCAGCCAGCTCACAATGCTACGTTGGCATCTCTTGTTTGGGTGCGACGCAATCATATCCGATGTCCTCTCATGTCACTTCTCCACACAGCATGGCTCCAAGCGGTTGTGTCATGTTGTGTGTTGTGTGTGCCTGCATGCTTTCGAAGTGTGATGTTATGTGTCGTGGCCGTTGTGTCATTGCTGTCTGACTGCGTGCTGTCAAATGTCACTTCTCCATACGGCGTGTTAAAGCTTTCTAAGTGTGATGTTGTGTGTGGTGGCCATGGTGTCATTGCTGTCTGACTGCGTGGTATCAAATGTCGACAGGTGCAGCATGTACCACCATCTCATCGAAATACACACGGGGTTGACAGCGTGTGCCAAAGTGCAAGTGCCACAGCAAATGTTTGTGCACAGCAAACAGCGCACCTGCTGAGCCCAGTACAACACAAACTCCCAAGGAAGAATGAAAAGGTATCTGCCACGATACGTAAGGACGCGAAAGACAGAAAATGTCATCCATGAACGCGGATGCAAAGACAGCACCTGTCGTCACCTGGCAGCGACGCCACAACAAGTAGAATCCCAGTGCCATAAGTGCCACGCCTGCCACGCAAAGTAACAATCGATGTCATCAAGTGCCACGCCTGCCAAACAAAGTGAAGGTGGATGTCACAAAGCGCCACGCCTGCCACGCCTGCCACGCCTGCCACGCCTGCCACGCCTGCCACGCAAAGTAACAATCGATGTCGTCAAGTGCCACGCCTGCCACACAAAGTGAAGGTGGATGTCACGCAGTGCCACGCCTGCCACGCAAAACGCCGCAGCGTCACAGCGCCGCCTGCTGACCAAGCGCGCCACCAAAGCGGCCCAGCGCCATAAGTGCCACGCCTGCCACGCAAAGTAACAATCGATGTCGTCAAGCGCCACGCCTGCCACACAAAGTGAAGGTGGATGTCACAAAGTGCCACGCCTGCCACGCAAAATGCCGCGGCGTCACAGCGCCTCCTGGGAACCAAGCGCGCCACCAGAGCCAACCCAGTGCCATAAGTGCCACGCCTGCCACGCAAAGTAACAATCCATGTCATCAAGCGCCGCGCCTGCCACACAAAGTGAAGGTGGATGTCACAAAGTGCCACGCCTGCCACGCAAAACGCCGCGGCGTCACAGCGCCTCCTGGGAACCAAGCGCGCCACCAGAGCCAAGCCAGTGCCATAAGTGCCACGCCTGCCACGCAAAGTAACAATCCATGTCGTAAAGTGCCACGCCTGCCACACAAAGTGAAGGTGGATGTCACAAAGCGCCACGCCTGCCACGCAAAACGCCGCGGCGTCACAGCGCCTCCTGGGAACCAAGCGCGCCACCAGAGCCAACCCAGTGCCATAAGTGCCACGCCTGCCACGCAAAGTGACAAGTTGTGTGTGAACAAGTTGTGTGTGAACAAGTTGTGTGTGAGTAAGTTGTGTGTGAGTAAGTTGTGTGTGGACAAGTTGTGTGTGAACAAGTTGTGTGTGAGTAAGTTGTGTGGTGTGTGAACAAGTTGTGTGTGAGTAAGTTGTGTGTGAGTAAGTTGTGTGTGTGTGAGTAAGTTGTGTGTGGACAAGTTGTGTGTGTGAGTAAGTTGTGTGTGTGTGTGCAAGTTGTGAGTGGACAAGTTGTGTGTGTGTGAACAAGTTGTGTATGAGGCGGCGGGAGGCGGCGGACGGAGGCGGACGGGATACAGAACCAAAAACAAGAACCCCACACAAAGATGTGGGGAATTAACTGACGTGATGAATCTACACATATTTATATTTATATTTATAGACGTATAATCACGGGAGACAATGACGATATCAACCAACAGCGATACAATATAGGTCTCCCCGCTGCCACTTAAATGCGCCCAAGGCCGGGACTATACATATAAATATAGCTGCAGGTACAGGAAACCGGCCAGGTTGCCCTTCCCACTCATGTCCACAGCTTCGTTGCGTGTGGTGGGACATGAGTGCCACACGCCGTTGCAAAATTAAGAAGTTGTACATCTCTACAGATGGTACTTACACACACACACACACTAGACAAGAATGGATCATTTAAGTGATCCGTTGGGAACTGAATCCCCTCACATGCAAGTGGATTAGAGACTGCTGTTGGGGTTCTGGGCTTAGCCCCTTGCCATCGCAGTGGAAAATTGCAGGTACGCCAGACTGATCAGGTCTGGTATCACCACCAATTGCAAGTGTCTTCGTTGGCAGTAGACTTGCAATGGTGCTACTGCCCCCTGCTAGAAGGAGAGAAAAAGAAAAGAAGGAGAGGTTTTACATCTATTTAGATGTTACACACACACACACTAGACAAGAATGGATCTTTGAAGAGATCCGTCGGGAACTGAGTCCCTAAACATGCACCTAGATTAGTTACTTAAATATATATTTATATATATATATATATATGGGACTGAGGTGACCACCAGCTGCGGCTTATATGCGCCCAGGTGCGCCACCCCAGTCCCGCAGGTACGTTTACACGGGTCCCGGGGAGGTGTCTTCATTGGTCACCGACCCCCCCGGGACCCCGGTGACCCCCTGCATTAAAATATGTTATATTGTAATATGATGAATGGGCGAAGTTTTACGTCTATGCAGACGTTACACGCACACACACAGACACTTGCTCAGAACAGTCATTGCGAATTCTGATGTGGAATGTATCTTACGTGCAAAAAACACTCCAATTAAACCTGACAGGAAAGGGTTGATGACCAGAGGCGAGAAACAGTGCGAAGGAATTCTTTCAATGTCCTTGCTAGATGTAACATATCCATCTAAACCAAGTCGTTACCTCTCTTGACAGATAGCGACAACTGTGCAGTAAAAAAAGGAAAAGCAGAAACCAATTGTTCGACATGCCGGTTCTTGGCTTAGCCGGTTGCCATTGATGAAGATGAAAATTGGCGCAGGTACACAGATTGGCCTCCCAATCTGCATCACCAGATCAAATGGGTGTCTTCGTTGCTAGCGGTCCCAAATGATCTGCCGCTATCCCCTGCAGTATCTAGTACTAACACTTCTGTCACATATAACTCCGTCACACAGTCACACAGAACATTGTCACCTACAAGCATGGCACTGATGGCGTTGGGCTGGGGCGGCGAGCCTTAGGTTTGTGTGACGCCCCAACTCTTTCACGCAACTTTGCCACACATACACACACACACACGCACACACTCACACAGTCTGCGTCACACACAACGCTGCACAGACAATTCCGTCACACAACACCATTGAGCAACTTGCGGATAAACTTGAGCAATTTGAATAGGACAGGGGTTGTTTCTTAAGACTCCCTGCTTGTGCGAGTCGTTTGACGAGAGCTTCTCCAACTTTGTCGAGCCGGTTTGACGATGCCCTCTTCCCTGCGCATCTGAAAGCAATGGGTTGGAATCCCTTCGTCTGCACCGCCTCCTTTGCCTCCTTTGTCACAAAGAATTTGGTTTCACATAACTTGGTTTCACACAACTGATGTCCATCATGCATACGCATCTATGCAATACACATGTTCCCTCACACTGTCTTCCGCCGCCTCCTTCCTTTTTCGTGACTTCTCCAGTCCCCATGTCATTTTTTACACATGTTCCGTACTTGTTGAAACACGCTGTCATGTGGGGTAATCCAGTCCTGTAGTCTTGTTCTGCCAGAGGCAGATGACATCCACACCTCTACTGGTGGATCAACCAAGCCTTCGGACACTGGTTCAGCCATTGTGGCCAATTTGGCAGATCTCACAAAATTGGGAGCCTCCGAAACTCGGCTGGAACTGGTTGTGGATTCTGCAGGTTGTGTTCTGCATGTGACACGTGACACCTAAGCTGACGCGTGTGAAGACTTCCATTTGAAGACATGTATTGAGAACACAGTGGTTGTGGCTATGACCCTGTTCGCCCAAGTTTATGTTGCAAGATGCAAGGCGATTCTCCATGCAAGCTCTGTGCACGAGAGCGAGGAGGCAAGCCAATACTGGGGACCAACCATGGTCACCGATGACGCTCGGCAATGAAAGAAGTTCTTGCAATGCGATGCACGAGGCACACAACTGTTCAGACCAAGTCCATTTGGTCACGGTGTCATTGTTCAACTTATCATGTATTGATTTTTTGTAGACTCGTTCCAGGACACCATGTCGCACTTGGGCGCTTTCGCGGCCGAGAAGACTCCGGGGCAAGTGGGCTCTGTGCCTTTCGATGCCCGCATTGTCGGTGTTTGGGAAGGCAATACCAGCAAGGCCTTGGGAGGTTACCGTCAACGCATCGAATTCCACAATGAGACTTGGCAAAGATTCTCCAAGAAAGCTCTTGGTGTGCATCGATCTATGAGTCTAGCAACACAGAGAATATAGGGTTTGACAAAAATAAGTTTCGGTGGTATCCCCAACAGCCGAAAGGTTGTATTTTTACAAATCTTTCTGAAGCGTGCTACGAAGCAGCCTCGATACACCTCAGCTTGGTTTCCGTGAATTGAAAGGCCGCACAGGCCTTCTCCGGAACCTTCTCCGGGACCCTGTTGAACCTGACCTGGCTCTGCACCAAAGCCTCCCGGAACCTTCTCCGGAACCTTCTCCGGAACCTGGCTTTGCACCAAAGCCTCCCAGACCTTGTCCGGAACCTTCTCCAGAACCCTGTTGCACTGACCTGGCTTTGCACCAAAGCCTCCCACACCTTCTCCAGAACCTTCCCCGAACCCTGTTGAACCTGACCTGGCTCTGCAGCGAAGCCTCCCAAAATCTTCTAACTCTGCACCGAACTTCCGACCTCCGGAACATTCTCCTTCCCCGGAACCCTGTTGAACCTGACCTGGCATGTGCACCGAACCTTTGCTTGCTGGCTGGCTGGCTGGCTGCCTGGCTGCCTGGCTGCCTCTGGCTGCCTGGCTGCCTGGCTGCCTGGCCTGGCTGCCTGGCTTGCGTGCGTGCGTGCTTGCGTGCTTGCGTGCGTGCGTGCGTGCAAGCGTGGGTGCGTGCGTGCGTGCGTGCTTGCTTGCTTGCTTGCTGGCTGGCTGGCTGGCTGGCTTGGGTGGTGGTGGTGGTGATTTTGGTGGTGATTTTGGTGGTGATTTTGGTGGTGATTTTGGTGGTGATTTTGGTGGTGATTTTGGTGGTGATTTTGGTGGTGATTTTGGTGGTGATTTTGGTGGTTCTTTTTGTGGTTCTTTTTGTGGTTCTTTTTGTGGTTCTTTTTGTGGTTCTTTTTGTGGTTCTTTTTGTGGTTGTTTTTGTGGTTGTTTTTGTGGTTGTTTTTGTGGTTGTTTTTGTGGTTGTTTTTGTGGTTGTTTTTGTGGTTGTTTTTGTGGTTGTTTTTGTGGTTGTGGTTGTGGTTGTTGTTGTTGTTGTTGTTGTTGTTGTTGCTGTTGTTGCCGTTGTTGTTGTCATCGTTGTCGTCGTTGTCGTCGTCGTTGTTTGTTTGTTTGGTTGGTCGGTTGTTTGTTTGTTTGCTTGTTTGTTTGTTTGTTTGTTGTTTGTTGTTTGTTTGTTTGTTTGTTTGTTTTTTTTTTGTTTGTTGTTTGTTTGTTTGTTTGCTTGTTTGCTTGCTTGTTTGTTTGTTTGTTTGGTTGTTTTTTTTGTTGTTTGTTCGTTGGTTGGTTGATTGGTTGGTTGGTTTGTTTGTTTGTTGTTTGTTGTTTGTTGTTTGTTTGTTCGTTTGTTTGTTCGTTTGTTTGTTCGTTTGTTTGGTTGGTTGTTGTTGTTGTTGTTGTTGTCATCATCATCTTCATCATCATCATCATCATCATACCCATCATCATCATCATACCCATCATCATCATCATCATCATCATCATCATTATCACCATCATCTCATCATCATCCTCATCATCATTATCATCCACCTTACCATCATCCACTTCATCTTCCGCATTATCGCCCTCATCCTCATCATCCTCAACATCATCATCCTCAGCATCATCCCCCTGCACCTCATCATCCTCAACATCATCACCCTCAACATCATCGTCCGCAACATTATCATACTCATCATCATCATGCCATCATTGTCATCATCATCATAATCATCATCATCATTAGCATCATCATCAACATTGTCATACATTATCCCCCCACTGCCCACACTGTTTGGGGTCTCTTGCCGGGATAATTTTCACATGTTGACTTCGAAATTTGCTTCGCGCCACAAGGGCTTGCACTTTTTCGACATCTCAACTTCCAAAAGTGTTCTGACACGGGTGTTTTTTCCCCAGACGGTGTGTCCACACTAGGGGTTCTTACGGCAGTTGTGAAGGCCAGTGCTTGATCAGGGTGCTCCAGCTGGGCCACATTTTTCCTGTAAATGTCCGTATAAAGTGGCTCTTGTGAAACCTCCAAGTACATGTAGACTGCTCAGGCTCGCACAAAGTCCGTCTGCGTTCTGGGCTCACTCTGGGGCGCAGCATTTATCCTGAGAATTTCCACTTAAAGCCGCTTTTGTGAAATGTTCAAATGCGACTGCGCAAGCTCGCACAAAGTCTGCGCCGCGTCATTTTTCCTGTAAATTTCGGTATAAAGTGGCTCTTGCGAAGTGTTGAAGTGTATTTCGACTGCGCAGGCTCGCTCAAAGTGTGGGTCCCGTCTTCGGCCTCAACATGATCATCCTCAACATCATCATTCTCAACATCATCATCTTCCTCCTCCTTGACCTCATGATCCTCGACATCATCAACCTCCACCTCATTTTCACATCAACATTTATTATCTTCCTGTTCAGAGTATCATGCTTCTCCACATCATCCTCCTCAACGTCATTATCTTCCTCCTTCTCCACATCATCATCATCATCATCATCATAAACATCATCATCATCATCATAAACATCATCATCATCATCATCATCATCATCATCATCATCATCATCATCATCATCCACCTTACCATCATTCACTTCATCTTCCACATTATCGCCCTCATCCTCATCCTCCTCAACATCATCATCCTCAACATCATCATCCTCAGCATCATCCCCGTGCACCTCATCATCCTCAACATCATCACCCTCAACATCATCGTCCGCATCATTATCATCCTCATCATCATCATGGTCATCTTCATCATCATCATAACCGTCATCATCATTAGCATCATCATCATCATCATCATCATCAACATTGTCATACATTATCCCCCCACTGCCCACACTGTTTGGGGTCTCTTGCCGGGAAAATTTTCACATGTTGACTTCAAGGGCTTGCACTGTTTCGGCATCTCCACTTCCAAAAGTGCTCCGAACAGCAGGTGTTTTGCGTATTTTGACTTCGAAATGTACTTCGCGCCACAACGGCGTGCAATCTGGCTCAGCACCCGCCGCTTTAGGAACCCTACTTGCCGACCCTCCTGAGCCCCGAAAAAAACAGTGTTTCGCGACTTTTTTCTGGCTTTTGGCGCACCTGCATCTTCTCTCTTCTTCTCTTCTCTTCTCTTCTCTTCACTTCACTTCACTTCTCTTCTCTTCTCTTCTCTGACTCTTCCCACCTCTGCTTTTCCATCTGTCCATGTTGTCGGAAGTTTAACTTCTAAACTTCCTTCGATGAATCTAATGTGCATCTAATGTTCATCTATTTCCTGCAAGTGGGTTGCCGGTTTTGGTGGAGGATTTCTCCACTGAGGACTGCATCCATGCAAACGTCACAGTTATGGGACAAACTATGGAAGCTCAATTCCGTATGAACTGCTCAGTCGAGCCTTGCCAGCTCGACATTGAAGTCCTGCCCAAGGGAACCAGTTGCTACTGGGTCCAGAATTGAGTGCAATTTTTGTAGGTTTAGGGATGGTTTCTAGATGCTGCATTTCTGAAGAGACCGTTTCTTGAGAGTTCAGTTTTTGAAAGGAATTGTTCCCTGTCTGGAATCTAGGCCCTCCACCAGCGATTCCTTACATTTTCAAGTTCCAAAACGGTTCTTTGCATTTGTGCGGCCCGGCCGACAATCGTATGCATCGCGCCACGAACTTTGACGGTCCTGGATTGTGCATCATGGACAAGATTGAGACGATGCCAGCATCCACGATGCCACGCCAAACGTCAGCAAACACACAAATGTCACAAATGTCGCTTGCTTCGCACTGTACGTTACATGTCATTGAATCTCATGTCTCTTTGAATCAAGCCATGCATATCTATGATGACACGTTGTTCCTCTTCATCTTTTCTCGCGCCATAAGCCCCAGATGCCAAGGTCTCTGGAGCCTGACCCCGAGTTCAGTCGCAATAGCACCGAGGCAATTCTGTAGCTGAAAACAACCACCATGACAGTTCTGATGCCAAGTTTACCAATGCTCGCAGAGTGAGGGCCTTGATGCAGTTAGAAAACTGGCTGTGGATTCGGCTCTTGGCTCACGGGTCTTGATGTTGGTGTTGGACACTTGTCACAGATGTGAGGGATCCAAAAATCCAAACATGCAATTTCAAACGTGATTTGCGCAGCTCGTAGATTACTTTGCAGATCCTCTTGGTGTGCAGGATCAGCCCACCAGGTCTCCATTGCTCAATCAGAAGGCTTGCAGGGCTGGTTGTTTGGACGTCAAACCATCTTACATTTCCGGGACAAAAACGCGGGAATCTGACCGTTTCCTCTTGGGAGCGGGTTGTAAAAGATGTTTCAAGTTGCCCGATGCAGATCAGATGCATTGCCAGATGATCTTGTTTGGAGAGTAAAGTCCCAAAGTTCTTGGGCACAGAAATGAAAAATACTGTGCATACAGGGGCTTTCTTTTCTGCCTTGAAGGAGCATATCGCACCGACGAAGCAGAGCAACAGCGTCGTCCACTGGATTGAGGACCAGATTCTGTTGCTGCTAAACTGCTCGTGCAGTACTCAGCAGCTGTTTTCTGCACATTTGCTGACAACAGTCGCAGAGAAAGGCAATGTGTTCTTCCTCCACAAATTTGTACCAGGAGCAACCTGCCATGGCAGCATCAATGGCACTGGCTCTCACCAGTACGATCATTGCTTTGCGCAAGTCCATTTGAGTTAGCCTGTGACACAAAGATTGGACGTGAAGTCCCAGTTGATGCAATTTTTTCATGTCAAGAAAACACAGAACTAGAGGCTTTGAGATGTTTTGAGATTGTCTTGTTGTCAACACGTCTGGATAAAACATTGGTTTCAGACAAAGGACAACTGAACACAATTCTGGGAGGGACGCACAGGAGACCTACCAGGTTCAGTTGATCTTTGTTTTGTTCCGGCTTTCTAGCCAAGTTGCTTGCCGCTGATTTAAAGCGGTCCGGTTTCGGAAACTACTACGTGCATCAAAGTGCCAGAGTCCCGGTCAAATACTTGGTCGAATTTGGTGGAAATTCAATGATAGTGAATCACAATGAATCTTTTGATGATCGGACATGGTTTGATCGTCTCGCACAACTAAAGAGCCACTACCTGAGCCCAAAAAAATCGACTTGGGAGGCCAGCCTTCTAAAATCCCCTTAGAACGGGCCAGAGTGAGGAGCGTTTTCACACAATCGCCATCCTTGTGCTTAGCGCCTTGAGATATTTGAAAATCTTTGAAATATTGGAATCACGCCAAGTTCATCCAACTTCAACAACTTATTCCAAATCATTTGAAACCTATCCTCAAATTTGGAAGGAACCCTCAAGGTTGCATGCAGAGCCCGCAGGGCAAAGCGCCGTGTTTCAAGCTGAGTGCCGACGGAACCCAGCTGGCAGACTTTGCCTTTGCGGATGTCTTTCGTCGATGCATTCGCCGCCGAAGAAAATTGCAAAACGACTGAAACCTGCTAGACATGAGATCAATTTTCTCATCCTATTTCGGGGTTTCTCCCAGTGAATCTCAGGTCTCTTGATTCGGCAGGTACTTTCCAATGGCGCCATTGTTGCTTCAACGTGGGAGCTTTCACTGCACTTTTTGAAGCAGGCTAGGTTTGCACCTTGCAAGGTCTATTGGGGATTACCCATCAGCCAACTAGCACAATGAGATGGGATATGTTTTTTTTCAATGTCTCAAATCTCATTGGACCTGCGTCCCCCTTGGAGAGGGCCCCTCTTTCGACAAGACTTTTTAAACCAAAATCAACAAGGACAGCGATACGGTGACACTGCTTCGGGCGCTCTGCGTTTCATGAGAGGCACAGCAGACTTCCATTGTGAGTTTCAGTGCTGCGATATCTGCCTGCAAGAAAGGCGAGACCACGATCCAGTCCTTAGAGAATTTCTGGTAAACATCAGCTGAAAATTGGATGAAAGCAAAAGATTTCCAGATCATGACAGATTATTTCATCCTGCTTTTTCATTTGTCCTTTTGAGATATGTTGATCCGAAACTGTCCGAAACTGCGAGACTCCGGGGAGCGGCGGGGGAGCGGCAGCGGCTAGGCTCAACGTGGCTGCCAGCCCAGCTGCTGCTGCAACAGGCCATGGCTTGCGGCCACCAGGCGATGCGATGGCAATTGATGAGGGGCAAGCACGCGGACAACATGTTGCACCACATGTAGGGAGCACGTTGCACCATGTTGGCGACATATTGAACACGTTGCCATTGCGTGATGGGAGCCATGTATTTGACGTCCCTGGCATGTCGGCACAATGTCGCCACATGTAGGTTCAAATGAAGGTAGCAGGATGACGAGTCCTGACTCACAAGTTTCTCAAGGTGCAGACCTATCTGCCATGGAGGAAGCGCAGCCGGACGTGCTTGATCAACTCATGTCTTTTGGCAGCGCACCGTCGACCATGGGCCAGTCAGATCGCAGCCGAAGCGATCGAAGGGCGGGAACAGTAGGCATCTCACACTAAGCCCAGCTCGGGGGTCATTCACCCGGTGAGTTTCGTGGACTTTTGGAAGGACGAAGCAGGACAAGAAGTGATGATCAACTTCCCAATCCTTTCTGCATCTGCAAACTGGGATGTACGACATGAAAACGAAACCAATTCTCTGAGGCCCAGGGATCAGACACTATGCCCAGGAACACTTCGCCACTTTCCATTGGCATCGCCTTTGTGGCATCTACATCGTCTCTGATGTGAAACGTGCTGATTTTGCACACACAGAGAGAGAGAGAGAGAGCTGCGCACCGCGCCTTGAAGGACCTACGCGCCCCAGTCCCCCAAAGCAAGGTGTGTTACATCTTTAAGGACGCGGACACTGTGAAGCAGGTGCTGCGAGAGAAGCTCCAACTCAGTATTGAGGAGCTGCTCAGCTCGCAGGGATAAGATTGATGGCACGACAGAAATGCGAGACAAACAGTAGAAGAAGAGGTGCCTCCATGCTTTCGACAGAAACTGCCATGCTGCAGCGAATAGAATAGGAGTGGTGCAGCCCAAAACATGTTGGGTAAGTTCTGGGTTTGGCCGAACCGCAGCGCCTTCTTGATGAGCATGTTCATGCGCGGCAAGTCTTTTCGCGGATCAACAAACATGTGCTATTCAAAAATTAGCAGTCTGCGAAGGGTGCCACTCACTTTTTCCCGCAAGTGCCTGAGCGTAGGGTTCTTCTTAGAGAAGGAGCTGACATATTACCGAAGGAAGTTTAGAAGTCAAACTTCCGAAAATATGGACAGATGGAAAAGCAGAGGTGGGAAGAGTCAGAGAAGGTCAGAGAAGAGAAGAGAAGAGAAGAAGAAAGAAGATCAGAGAAGGAAGAGTCAGAGGAAAGAAGATACAGGCGCGCGAAAAGGTAGAAAAAAAGTCGCGCAACACTGTGTTTTACCAATGATTTGTGGCTGCGGACGGTCGAAAAGTAGGCTGGCTAAAGCGGCGGGTGCGGAGCCAGCTGGCCAGATGAGAGATGAAAAATTGCACGCCGTTGTGGCGCGAAGCACATGTCGAAGTACACGGGTCGGAGCACTTTTGGAAGTTGAGTTGTCGAAAAATTGCATGCCGTTGTGGCGCACACGTTTCGAAGCCAAAATGTACAAAACACACCATGCTCGGAGCACTTTTGGAAGTTGAGACGTCGAAAAAATGCACGCCGTTGTGGCGCGAAGCACATTTCCAAGTCAAATTCTTAAAAACACCACATGCTCGGACCACTTTTGACGGTTCAGATGCGGTTTTGCGTGGCATTCGCAGGGGATTCTGCACAGGGGATTCTGCACCTGGCCAAAAGTGAGCAAAACGCGATGGTTTTGTAGCATGTCCAAAAACGATGGCAGGCGTGGGACATTTGAAGAGGATCTCGAAAGATGCATGTCGCGTGGCAGGGGCAGTACAAGAGACATGTTCATCAGAGATGTTAGGAGGTCAGGGCGCTGATTTCCTGAGAGGGGTTTGCACTTTGGAGCATCAGATCTTCAGTTTTGCTAAGATGATTTTGCGTGACACGTGCAGCACTTCGTATGACCTGGCTTCACTTTTTCGTGGCAGGCGCAATACTTGAGAGACATGGACTGGAAAAATCGCAAAACGCATTGGTACGAGGCCGTCAGCTCTGCACTCAACTTTCTATTATTGAAGGAAGTCTCGCAGAATTGCTTCGTTTTTGATGTTGTCAACTTCGAAAAATGAGGAAGTCTCGCAGAATCGCTTCGTTTTTGATGAAAGTAGTTCCCAGTACTACGTACTTCGTACTACAAAGTTTGAACAAAATACGTCCAAGTACTACTTCGTACTCTGTACTACATCATACTTCAAAGTTTGCAGACAGTACTTCCCAGTACTACTTTGCACTACAAGGTTTGCAGTAAGTACTTCCCAGTTCTACTTCGTACTACAAAGCTTGCACAAGATACATCCCAGTACTACTTTGTACTACAAAGTTTGCAGAAAGAATTTCCCAGTACCACTTTGTACTACAAGGTTTGCAGCAAGTACTTCCCAGTTTTACTTCGTACTACAAAATTTGCACAAAGTACGTCCCAGTACTACTTCGTATTACAAACCTTGCACAGGGGGCGAGAGAGGGAGAGAGGGCATTCAGTACTACTTCGTACTACAAAATTTGCACAAAGTACTTCCCTATGCTGGTCTAGTTCAAGCAGTAACTTTATTTATTGGTTTGATTCCCGTGATGAGTTCGGTTAACGATTATAGCTTAGATGAATTAAGCAGCAAATCAACATGCATACTTGTAAATATATATATATATATTGAGATCAACCGTCACAGGGGATCGCATGTTTTTTTGTTCTCATTTGCGGCCGTTTTGAGTCAACCAAATTGTATCTACATATGTTTTGTTTGGATTGGTTTTGTTTTTCACAGCGGCTATGTAGCGCACAAAGGCATCCATGACCATTTAATTCCCAAAGTTTTAATGAATTACAAGGCTGACAAGCCATCGACGTGTGCGGAGCGCAGGGGTAACCCAGACAGTTTGTTGTTCCGGGGAGTTGAGTTTCGCAGTGTGACTTTCAAACAGAAGCGCAACAAAGTTAACGTGAGCGTCCCAGCAAGAGCGTAGCATCAAGAGCGTCTTGGAAGAATCGCATATGTAACCGCAGGCGAAAGGGCGTTATTAGCCCGCCTCACCCCTTTCCCCACCCCTTTCCCCACCCCTTTCCCCACCCCTTCCCCACCCCTTCCCACAATGCAACTCCCGGGAAACCACCCCGTTTACCCAACATGTTCCAACCTCGTTCAGAGGACCAGCTAAGGAACAAATGGAATTGGAAGAAATGCAGCCAAGATGCGAAGAGGTCTAGAATGAGTCAACTGCAGATGTTTGAGGGCGGAAGGATTTGCCAGGCTTCCAACAGACATGCTAGGCTGGCGCTTTTCTAATCTGAAAAGCCATGCAGCTGTGCCCTATGCCTTTGAAGATCGGGAGAGATCCCCTCTATCCTACACTGGAAACGCTGTGGGATTTCTGTGCGACTCTTTGCATCCTTCAAAGCCTTCATCATTTTTCCATATCTTTCCAAAATGGGCTTCTCATTGTCCCCGACAAGACAGGCCAACGATGTCTCGGTGGCAACCATGGTCTTAGCACAAGCTATGAATCGCCAGTGGCCGTCGGCATTGCAACAGCTGCTGCACTTTGAGGAACGAGGCAGTCTCAAGTGCAGTCACAGCAGCAACTTCAGGATAAACTATGATAAACATTGGAGAAACATTGGATGAACTGATACATACTGATAAACTTGATTTGGATTTCGTTGAAATTGCCCATTTGAGCTGCTTCACAGAATGAACCTCGAAGCATTTGGCTGGAATTGTGTTGTGGTTGACATGCCCAGCACTGCAGGTGTCAAGTGTGACGTGGATGCCTGCGCATCTGTGCTCACAGTTTTTTGCCTGGCAATTTTACAGGTAGTATAATCGACAATTGTCAATAACAGTTGTAAATAGTTGATAGTCAGATATAGTCAGATATAGTCGGTATAGTTCAGTTGTTCTTGACCATACTTGACCATAACAGTTGGATGCTCGCTGCAGTTTCGGCACCATGGTTGTCTTTGCGTCGCCTCGGTGCCAAGGAATGTGAGCAAGAAAGCCTCCCCAGCATCGAGACTGACCTGCTTGGTTTACTACGTTTACTGGATTGGGCGCCCAAAAAGTCACAGTTTGTTGACTGGATCTGGCTCGTGGCTTTTCATGGCTTTTCGATGTTTTCAATGTATGTCATGTTTCCCTTTTTTCCCCCAGAGCGCCTGAGCGCAGGGTTCTTCCAATAGTGGGGGTCTGTCTCTCATCTTCTCATCCTCACATCTTCTCATCTTCACATCCTCACATCTTCACATCTTCTCATCTTCACATCTTCTCATCTTCATATCTTCTCATCTTCACATTTTCTCATCATCTTCACACATTCACATCTTCACATCTTCGCATCTTCTCATCTTCACATCTTCTCATCATCTTCACACATTCACATCTTCACATCTTCACATCTGCTCATCTTCACATCTTCTCATCCTCACATCTTCACATCTTCTCATCTTCACATCTTCACATCTGCTTATCTTCACATCTTCTCATCCTCACATCTTCACATCTTCTCATCTTCACATCTGCTCATCTTCACAGCTTCACATCTTCACATCTGCTCATCTTCACATCTTCTCATCCTCACATCTTCACATCTTCTCATCTTCACATCTGCTCATCTTCACAGCTTCACATCTTCACATCTGCTCATCTTCACATCTTCTCATCCTCACATCTTCACATCTTCACATCCTCACATCTTCACATCTTCTCCTCTTGCCTTCTTGCCCTCTTGCCCTCTTGCCCTCTTGCCCTCACATCTTCACATCTTCTCCTCTTGCCCTGTTGCCCTCTTGCCCTCTCCTTCTTTTCTATTTCTCTTCTGAAGGCGGGGGCAGGGGCAGTGCGAACGAGACGGCACGAAACGCGACCCTTTCGCACGAAATGAGGTTAGATCGCCAAAAACTGAGGTAAAATTGCGATTTCAAGGTGTCCCGCGCAACCCTTTCGCACGAAATGAGGTTCGATCGCCAAAAACTGCGGTAAAAGTGCGATTTCAACTTGTCCCGCGCAACCCTTTCGCACGAAATGAGGTTCGATCGTCAAAAACTGAGGTAAAATTACGATTTCCAAGTTCCCGTTGCAACCCTTTCGCACGAAATAAGGTCAGTAAAAGTGCGAGTTCAAGTCGTCCCGCGCAACCCTTTCGCACGAAATGAGGTTCGATCGTCAAAAACTGAGGTAAAATTGCGATTTCCGGGTTCCCATTGCAAAACTGAGGTAAAATTGCGATTTTTTCTGTGTGTACAAAGCTTCTGTGTGTTGTGTGTCAAAGCTTCTGTGTGTAAAAGCATCTGTGTGTAAAAGCCTCTGTGATGTAAAAGCGTCTCTGTGTAAAAGCGTCTGTGTGTAAAAGCGCCTGTGAGTAAAACCGTCTGTGTGTAAAAGTGTCTGTGTGTAAAAGCATCTGTGTGTTAAAGCGTCTGCGTGTAAAAGTGTCTATGTGTAAAAGCGTCTGTGTGTAAAAGCTTTTATGTGTAAAAGCGTCTGCGTGTAAACGCTTCTGTGTGTAAAAGCTCCTGTGTGTAAAAGGGTCTGTGTTAAAAGTGTCTGTGTGTAAAAGCATCTGTGTGTAAAAGTGTCTGTGTGTAAAAGCGTCTATGTGTAAAAGCGTCTGTGTGTAAAAGCTTTTGTGTGTAAAAGCGTATGCGTGTAAACGCTTCTGTGTGTAAAAGCTCCTGTGTGTAAAAGGGTCTGTGTTAAAAGTGTCTGTGTGTAAAAGCGTCTGTGTGTAAAAGTGTCTGTGTGTAAAAGCGTCTGTGTAAAAGCGTCTGTGTGTAAAAGCGCCTGTGAGTAAAACCGTCTGTGTGTAAAAGTGTCTGTGTGTAAAGCATCTGTGTGTAAAAGCGTCTGTGTGTAAAAGAGTCTATGTGTAAAAGCTTCTGTGTGTAAAAGCTTTTATGTGTAAAAGCGTCTGCGTGTAAACGCTTCTGTGTGGTAAGGGCCTCGCTTCGGAACGCGTCTTCAGGCATCGCTTCGGAACGCGCTCTCATGCATTGCTTTCGAACGCGCCTCCTCACCATCATCATCATCATCGTCGTCATCATCATCATCATCTTCTTCTTCATTCCGCACCATCATCATCAGTATTTGCATCATGTTTCTTCTTCCGTTTATTCCTCTTCTTCTTCTTCTTCTTCTTCTTTTTGGCCATCCTCTTCCTCATCAGCCTCATCCTCCTCATTATCCTCATCGTCAACAGCACGATCATCATCAGCAGCATCATCAAGTTTCTTCTATTTTTCTTCAGCATATTTATTCTTCTTCTTCGCCGCCAACACCACCATCATCATCGTCATCATCATCATCATCATCATCACCATCGTCATCCTCCTCATCATCATCATCAGCAAGATATAAACCCTAAAGGTGTCGTGGCTCTTCTTACATCAAGTGCAACAAGATATAAACCCTAAAGGTGTCGTGGCTCTCCTTACATCAAGTGCAACAAGATATTAACCCTAAAGGTGTCGTGGCTCTTCTTACATCAAGTGCAGCAAATTTTGTCTCTTCTTACATCAAGTGCAACAAGATGTAAACCCTAAAGGTGTCGTGGCTCTTCTTACATCAAGTGCAACAAGATATAAACCCTAAAGGTGTCGTGGTTCTTCTTACATCAAGTACAACAAGATATAAACCCTAAAGGTGTCGTGGCAGTCCTTAGATCAAGTGCAACAACATAAAACCCTAAAGGTGTCGTGCCTCTTCTTACATCAAGTACAACAAGATATAAGCCCTAAAGGTGTCATGGCTGTCCTTTCATTAAGTGCAACAAGATATAAACCCTAAAGGTGTCGTGGCTCTCCATACATTAAGTGCAACAACAAATAAACCCTAAAGGTGTCGTGGCAGTCCTTAGATCAAGTGCAACAACATACAAACCCTAAAGGTGTCGTGGCAGTCCTTACATCAAGTGAGACAAGATATAAACCCTAAAGGTGCCGTGGCTCTTCTTACATCAAGGGCAACAAGATGTAAACCCTAAAGGTGTCGTGGCACTCCTTACATCAAGTACAACAAGATATAAAGCCTAAAGGTGTCGTGGCTCTTCTTACATTAAGTGCAACAAGATTTAAACCCTAAAGGTGTCGTGGCACTCCTTACATCAAGTACAACAAGATATAAACCCTAAAGGTGTCGTGGCAGTCCTTAGATCAAGTGCAACAACATAAAACCCTAAAGGTGTCCTGCCTCTTCTTACATCAAGTACAACAAGATATAAGCCCTAAAGGTGCCGTGGCTCTTCTAACATCAAGTGCAACAAGATATAAACCCTAAAGTTGTCGTGGCACTCCTTACATCAAGTACAACAATATATAAACCCTAAAGGTGTCGTGGCTCTCCTTACATCAAGAGCCATAACATGTAAACCCTAAAGATGTCGTGGCTCTTATTACATGAAGTGCAACAACATGTAAACCCTAAAGGTGTCGTGGAAGTCCTTACATCAAGTGCAACAACATATAAACCCTCAAGGTCTCGTGGCAGTCCTTACATCAAGTGCAACAACATATAAACCCTAAAGGTGTCGTGGCAGTCCTTACATCAAGTGCAACAACATGTAAACCCTAAAGGTGTCGTGGCTCTTCTTACATCAAGTGCAACAGGACATCAAGTGCAACAAGATAAGAACCTCAAAGGTGTCCTGGCTCTTGTTACATGAAATGCAACAACATGTAAACCCTAAAGGTGTCGTGGCACTCCTTACATGAAGTGCAACAAGATGTAAACCCTAAAAGTGTCGTGGCTCTTCTTACATCTAGTGCAACAAGATATAAGCCCTAAAGGTGCCATGGCTCTTCTTACATCAAGTGTAACAAGATATAAACCCTAAAGGTGTCGTGGCACTCCTTACATCAAGTAGAACAAGATATAAACCCTAAAGGTGTGGTGGCTCTTCTTAGATTAAATGCAACCAGATATAAACCCTAAAGGTGTCGTGGCTCTTCTTACATGAAGTGCAACAACATGTAAACCCTCAACGACATGTAAACCCTAAAGGTGTCGTGGAAGTCCTTACATCAAGTGCAACAACATATAAACCCTCAAGGTCTCGTGGCAGTCCTTACATCAAGTGCAACAAGATGTAAACCCTAAAGGTGTCGTGGCTCTTATTACATGAAGTGCAACAACGTGTAAACCCTAAAGGTGTCGTGGAAGTCCTTACATCAAGTGCAACAACATATAAACCCTAAAGGTGTCGTGGAAGTCCTTACATCAAGTGCAACAACATATAAACCCTAAACGTGTCGTGGCAGTCCTTACATCAAGTGCAACAACATGTAAACCCTAAAGGTGTCGTGGCAGTCCTTACATCAAGTGCAACAACATATAAACCTAAAGGTCTCGTTGCTCTTCTTACATCAAGTACAACAAGGCTTTTGTTTCATATATTCACCTTCATTTTCTGCGGCAGGCGTGGGACCTTTTGACATCGACCTTCATTTTGCGTGGCAGGTGTGGCACTTTTGTACATCGACTGTCCTTTTACCCGGCAGGCGTGGGACTTTATGACATGGTTGAAACGAGTCAAATTCTCATACGAGGAGGTTTTCCGCGTTGGTCTCGCTTTGGAACGCGTTTTTCTTCCAAAGTCTCGCGCCTGTCAGTAAATCTGATGTGTGTGTGTGTATGGCGGGGTTTCCATGAGATGTTTTATTTTGTGTTCTAAAGTGATGCAAAATGGCTGTGTTCTAAAGTGATGCCTGAGAGTGTGTTCCAAAGTGATCCTTTTACCCTTCGGTGTGTAAAAGCTCCTGTGTGTAAAAGGGTCTGTGTTAAAAGTGTCTGTGTGTAAAAGCATCTGTGTGTAAAAGTGTCTGTGTGTAAAAGCGTCTATGTGTAAAAGCGTCTGTGTGTAAAAGCTTTTGTGTGTAAAAGCTTCTCTGTGTAAGGGGTTCTCTGTGTAAAAGTTTGCTCTGTGTAAAAGCTTCTGTGTGTGTAAAAGTGTTTGAAATGCAAACTATTGTCTTGTACTTGTGCTATATTGTCTTGATACTCCTCTTCTGGACTGCCTATAACACATCTTTAATATATTGTTTTGTAATATGGTGTCTCCATACTAACAAGAGAAGACCCTGCTCCTCTACGCTCTCGGGCCATCCGTCCTCTAGTAAATAATGATGATCCCGATTGACTGCTGTTTCTTATGGCTTGCACTAACCAGAAGAATCGGGACACAAAAGGAGGAATTGCAGCCTGTAAACAAAGTAGAGATTGCAGGAATTGTAACGCAGCCGGTACATGTTCTCAGCAGCTGGTGTCTAGTTTCTGCCAAGTGTGTGTTGCTTGCCAACAGGCGTTGATGTGTGTCCATTCCTGGCTTACAAGGGGTTGCATATTCTGGCCGATCGGTGAAGCACACTTGAAACTGAACAAATATGAGTAGTTGACAAGTTGCTCCTCTTGGCTGTTCATTTGCAGATGTTTCAGCAGATTTGAAGCCACCGCGTTTCAATTCCACCAAAGATCCTCACACTCAGCCATGGGAAGTGCCCCAAGTGCACCGGAAATGCCTGAAACTCAGAATTTGGAGTATCCTCGTCGAACTCGTGAGTTTTTGGAAGATTTCGGGCGCTGCTGTTCGTCGCAAAGTCTTGTAGGACATGCTTCTCTGCATTGCCGCTCGGAAGCCCAGAGAGAGAGAGAGTAGACTTCCTCTTGGAAGATCGTGGCACCAATCTGAAGACTTTGGGATTTCATGGGATTTCTGAAATCTTCCGAATCTGCGTAATCTGCAGTCATTTTTTGCACCGGCAAGGTTGACCACGGGGTTGATGGTCTCGGAGAGTCTCGGTGTGACACCAAGCTCCAGCTCCAGGCACAGCTGAACCCAATGATTCTGAAGAGTTCCACGACGACAACCGTTGACTACAACCGATTCCACGAGTCAACAATTCAAGTCGACGATTCGACGAGCGTGCCGTTGGTGAGAATTCTTGCGGTTCGGTGCATGTGTGAAAATGGCAAGCCTCACAGGTAAAGGATGCAAAAAGGATGCAAAAGTTGCTTGCAAACTTTCCAGGATTTTTTGTTTGGCATTTTTGGCATTTCTCCGTCCCACAGTAGGCCGTGGAAAGGTCGACCTCATGGTGCTTCAAGCGGGCGGTTGCCTCAACGAAACCCGCAAGGAAGCCATGGATTTTTAAGCGCTTAAAACATCACAGAAAACTGAAAGCCATGTTTTTGGTGTTTCACAGAAGCATTTGGGCTTTGAAGGGTCTCTTGATCCATGGTGAACGCTTCATACATCATTTCTCAGGGCGTGGTTTGGACCTTTGGACTGCAGGTTGAGCATTGTGCCACTAGTGGTACCAGATTGTACAGTGACAAACAGTGCAACAGTACAAGATAGTACAAGACAGTACAAGTATATCAGTGACAATGGCCTCTCGCATTCTGTCCCGGACTTGGCCTCTCGCACTAGCTCGCTATTGGCCGGAGCCCGGGTCCCCGAGACCCCTGTGAACATTCGGTGCCCTACGGGCATTGAACTGCAAGCCCGGGCCCAAAGCGGTTCTGGCGCCGCTGGACCTGACGGATGGTCATCTCATGAAATTAAACATCTCCCGCTCGAAACTTTCGAATCGCTTTCTCAGCTTTTTATTCAGTTCCCCACTGCTGGCAGTGCCAATTCAGCTTCAACAGGCTCGTATGGTTTGTCTTCCTAAACCCGGCAAGGTCAAGAATTCTGCTGTTCCTGTGGACGGCACACGCCCCATTACTGTGCTCAATGTTTGGTGGCGATTGTGGGTCTCTACCCTATGCCAGAGTAAAGGACTCAAAGCTTGGTTGAAAACTGCACTTCATCCCTCTATTGGAGCTGTTGCTAACCAAGATATCTTCGAGAATCTCATTTCCATTTTCGACCACTTCCATCAACAAGGATTTCTCCTTACGTTGGATTATTCTAAGGCATTCGATACTATCAGTACTGACATGTCTGTCTCCCTTCTTGATAAGTATGGTTGGCCTCCCAACATTACTGGCCTTCTCAATGCGGTTTGGGGCAGCCAAAACCGATTCATTCAGTATTCAGTATGATCATCACACTCATAGTGAACCTCTTAAAGCCCACGGTATCCTGCCTCAAGGTGATCCGTTAGGTCCCATAATCTGCTCACTTTGGGTTCAAAGCGGAGTCATGTCGGTGTCTACTTCGTCTATGTTGGAAGCTGGTCCTTCTTCTATGCAAATCTATCTTGACGATCGGACCTGCACGTCCTCTTCTGTCCAAGATCTGTTTACCTTGAAAAACGGGTGGTCTCGCTGGAGAAGGCTGAGGTGTCTGGGGTCGGATCTTTCCGTCTCGCTGCTCTCCATAAAAAATTCGATGCCACTATGATTTCGCCTGCCGTTCGGGTCCTCGGGGCGGTTTCTTGGTCGGGTCGTCGTCAACTTCACCGCATCGAAAAAGATCGGATTACTGCTGCTAAGGCTACTGCTCGTTTGCTGGGTTGCTGTGGATTCCTCCTCCCTACTCAGCTTAGTTTGCTCAAGCAGTTTGCCCTCCCTAAAGCCAACTATGGTTGGGTTGCTCGTGGTCCCACCTGGACTGTCGCTAGCTCTCTCTGGGCTACCTTTTGGGTCTCAACTCGCCGTGTCCGGTACTCCAGTCCGTGGCTGCGTGCTCTTTTCTTGGGAGGTAGCTTGCACCTGGATATCGCTTGGGTCACTCGCTTGGTGGCTGCGGTCCTCCGTCCGTCCTTGGGTCTGGCGTCATCCTGTTGCTTCTGTCGAGGTGGACCTTTCTGTTCGTCCTGGTCCCAAAATGCTGGAGCCTCTTATCGGTCTTGCTCAACACAATGTTCGGGAAGGCTGGAGGGCTTGGGTTTGGAAAAAATATTCTCCATGTGGCAGGCATGAGGTGAAGTCCCTTCCTGTCTCTGATCAAACTTTTCCTTCTTTGGATATCAAGAACACTCGTTCGTGGATCTTGTCCGGTCCCGTCACTGCCACGGTCGGATTGGGTGCCACTTTCAGTCCGGGTACTTACTCTCGTATTCCTTCGTCGTCTCGTTCTTCTACTTGCCCGTGGGGGTGCGGGGGCGTTGGATTCTGGGAGCACATCACTTGGGAGTGTCCGTACCGTCTTGGTCCTTTTCCTCCTAAACCGTCTTGTCCTTTTCTTGCTAGATTTGGTTGGGCCCAAAAAACTTCCTGCCCTAATGAGGTCTTGAAGGTTCGATGCTGGTTGGCTAAGTGCCAAGACAGCATTTGGAACACTAAGGAATCCGGAAACTAAGGTCCTTCTTTGTGCAACATCTACTATGGGGTGGTGCACGCTTCAAAGTTTTCCTCCTATATCAGTGACAATTAGTGTATTTCGATGTTTTCAATGTTTCTGACAAGACCCTTGCGCCCTGAGGTTGACGGTGTCTATTGCATGCCTCGCAGCAGCATGCCAACGAGGTGTGGGGTGCTTGACACAGGTGTCGACTCCCATTGCTTCCTGCCGTAGATCAAAGCCATCAAGACACGAGACTGCACTGACTGCACCAAACAGAATTGCAGTTGTGTCTCAATTCTGTAGATTCACTGTAGGTTCTGTAGATGTTTGATATGTTTGTTATTTTGTGATAGAGCGGCAGCTTCACAGGACAACGGCGGAAGGTTGCGATGCATGCCACAAAGCAGCTGGAACTCAGGGAAATGCTCCTGTGAATCTCCCGTTTCAAACCTTTTCCAAGCTGTTACCTTTGGAATTTCTGGCCATTTCTGGCCTTTCACCTTTCATTCAATTTTTCATTCTGTTCATGAAATTGTGGCCTTTCTTTGTTCGCCACGTTTGACGCTCTGAACAATTGCAGTTTTGGCTTGGCCCGAGCAAATTCATGAAATTTGGTGCAATGGGTTTCATATGGCTTCATGACGTTTCATGCCGGGCCAAAGATATCGCTTACACCAATTGCACACAGCGATATGCAGAATGTGGCTGAAAAGCATTTGAATCATTTTGAATCGCTAAAACACATAAGCTATAGCCTTAACTGCAACGCCGAACTTCCGCCATGAGAGCAAGATGAGACACCGCAAGGCACACACTATTCATTGCAAGATTTCAAAACTGAAGCGGGGCACCATTTTTGGAGCAAGAAACCTCGAAACGGGTCAAGTTTTCGCCATTTAGGAATGCTTCTGGCAACTGCTTTCACATTTGCTTTCACATCTTTCTCTGCATGTCTTTGTCTTTGTCTTTGCTGCAAATGGGATGATCCAGGAGCTGAAGCTCCCAAGCAAAGTCTCAGTAAAAGCCACAAAGTTTCTGCAGGCGGAGTCACGGGCCGGCATTCCCCGGCATTCCTCCATGTTTCTATTTCCATGATTTCAAGATTTTAAAGCATGAGACTCAGAATTGAGCTGGCATCCAGTGGGCAGGCCTATGGTTTTGATGAGATAGAGGCTCGAGATACTGTGGGGCAGCAAACTCTCAATTCGAAAGGAAATCAAAGACATTCACATCCAGTGAAATTATTGGTTATATTCAATGTGATTGAAATTAAAAATAAGAGTTGAAAGATAACAGTCACGTTGAGCTTCACTTCAAGTTGGCGCCAAAAGTTCAGAACACCAAATGACACAAAAGAGGCCGGAGGCCCCGGAGGCCCCGGGACTGCTTTTGAAACAAAGTTGCTTTGAGATCTCACCCTGAGGACAACGCTGCTAAGCAGCTTTGCGCAGTCCCAGCTGCTGGTGTGCCACTGTCTGTGACTCAGTCAACACGAAACGTCCATGGTAAAAGTTGCCTTGGTGAGCCGAATAAATGTGCGTGGGTTTTCCGTGCCATCCAGGCCGACTTATCAGAAGCCAATTAGGCGCTTTGTCAGAAGATGTTGTTTACATGTCAATCATGATGTAAATCATGTTTTCCAATAATGTAAGAGTTCAACACGGTGTCGAACCGTGGTCATTTGGGGTGAACAGCCAGTGGCACGTGGTTCAGGCTGCCTCTCTCCTCTTGGTCCTCTTGGTGGAGGGCGCCAAGGAAGACAAAGGTGGCAGATTCACATCTTGTGCTGTGAAGTTTAGAAGGCAATATGTCAAATAGAAGGTAAGTTTGCTAAGTTTGCTAGATGTTTGCTAGATGTTTGTGATATTTTGTGTTCCTTTTCAATCCATTTCAATCCATTTCAATCCATGTCAGCATTTTCTTAGGAGTCATAATTCAGCGGTGCACAGGTTCCTCGCCCGGAGTCGACCAAAGCGGCAAGGCTTGGAATGTGTTCATATGAACAAACTGCCACGGCAGAGACACTGATGCCATAGCAGCCAATGCATGGCATACCGATGCTGCCCATGACATGTCAAAATATGTGATGTCTTTTGCAACACTGCTACAGTAGACTACGCTATTATTGCTACACGGAGACCTTGTTTCCAGGAAGGTGTGCTACGAGCCACCTCCGAAGTGGAAGGGCAACACGCAGAGGCGAATTCAATCCCGATACTGGCATCCTAGCCCGAGCTAGTACAAGTGGTTTTGCTAAACGGCTTTCTACTTGTTCGAATGAGGTGGTTCCCTTCCGATTTCTCTTGGTGTTTGCAGGAACAAGAACAAGCCTGTGAGTGCAGGCGCGCTTTGTCATTTTCGTTTGCCGGTTAGTTTCTGAAATGAATGCGAAATCACTCAGCTTTACGTAGCCATCGCTCAGTTTCGAATGCTGAAAGTGGCTTGGAAACCCCGAAGCTGCGGAGTGTCTTCGATGTGGCTCACAGGACAGGTCACTTTGACAGATTTTTGAGAGATACTTGTATTATTCACCCTTATTATAGCCTTATTCATCTTGTGCGAATTTGTTTGTTTCTGTTGGTTTTCAACATTTGGATTACTCCAGAAAGGGCAGCATTCTTCTTTGAAAAATGTTCTAATCAATGCTTGGCCCGAGAGCAATCCGAGAAAGCTGTTTGTGAACATTAATTATCTCCCTGCCGTTTAGACCGCACTGGCTTCACATTCTCACTGAGTGTGCACATCTCCATCAAACTCTTATGTCTCGGATATCCTCACTGACCAAGCGCTTGATGTTCTTGAACATCTGGGTGGACCTTGGGTTGTTTCCATGTTTCCGGGGGTGAATTCGAAGATGGGAAACAAATAGTAGGATGACTTGAATGATTTGACCACATCCAATAGAAGGCTGTCTCGCATCTATTGAAACATGACCGGTGCTTGACCAATCAATGCACAGCAAGTGGCACAGGAAGGCAACACTCAAGTCCTTCGGGAAGGACTTTGGGAGACGAAGTCACATGCAATGAATGCATCGAATGCCAAATCTCCCCATTTTTGAATATGTATTGATGGCACTTGATATGTATTGATATGTATTGATATGTTCAATGTGTCCAATCCGCACCACGCCTTCAGGAGCGCACAGACAGCAAACGTTTGTCCCAAGATTCCACGTGCCGGCGTCTGCATCAAACTGCATCAAACTGTGTCCAGTTCCATGGCGCAAAGCCAAAGCCAAAGCCAAAGCCTAGGCGAGAGGCGGATCCAGCTCTCAACTTTCAGGAACCGCAGGACTTTCGACACTTTCGACACTTCGGTCCTTCAGCTCTTGCCATTTCGTCCCCAGTCGATTCCTCGATTCCACTTCCACCACTTGTTCCACCACTTGTTCCACCACTTGTTCCACCACTTGTTCCACCACTTGTTCCACCACTTGTTCCACCACTTGTTCCACCACTTGTTCCACCACTTGTTCCACCTCGTTTCCTCGTTCCTGTGATCCTGTGAGATGTCCAGGAGGATCAGCGAGTCGCTCTGTGGGAACTGCACGGATTAGCGCGGGACTGATGCCACTGGTCCAGCGCAGCGCATCGGTGAGTTCTGTTTGTATCGTGTTGTTTGTCGTGTGCATTGTGAAATCGGTGTGCTTTGGTCGACTCATGTCGACTGTCGACTCTAAGGCACGGGATGTGAACATGAAAGTGGAAGATGTGATCTCCATCAAAGAAATCTTTGACTCTTTTGATGAAGACAAAACAGGGACCTTGGAGCTGGAAGAGACTCAGATGCAGAAAGTTCAAACGGGTTTTTTTACACATGTGAAGCAAATTATGATGCATTATGATGCATTATGATGCATTGCATTGCATTATGTATGTTCATGTCCAGTGTCAAGATGTTTCAAGCAGCCTTTCTGCAGCTTTTCTGGCCACACTAAAGTCATTTCCTTTCACGGGGGCGGCTCCTCTACAGAGCCTCAGGAGTTCCAAAACGTTGCCATGGGGATACTCTCATCGCAACTCAGGAAGACTACTCAGGCAGAGTTCTGTGAAGTTACGTGAGAATATGTGAGATATGAATGAGATAAGTGTGAAAACTATTGAAAACTTGGAGGTGAACTTAGGTTGACTAAGAAACACTTCGACCTCAAAAAGAATGAGCAAAGCGTTCGGACAGACTCCCTCTTTGTGCTTTTTTGTCGGAGGCCAAACAACGAGTGCTGCAACTCTGTGAGAGGAGATCCTTTCAGATCTTTTAGATCCAGTCGATCCAGTCCGACGGTCGTCCAACGGAGTCTGGAATAGTTGGACACAGTATAAACAGTTAGATAAATCATGACATGTTCAATGTGATTACACATGATAGATCATGGATGAAATTTGACCAGGAACTTTGCGTTGATGGACTCTGACGGCTCAGGTAGGGCCTTTATTTTCAAGCACACGGTCCAAGTATGTCCAAGTTCTTAGAGCTTCATTAATTCATATGTTCTGCATTTTCAATCATTTTCACATATGATCATTATATGTTCTACAGTTTGGCTCCCAGTGTTGCAGTCGGGAGGTTCACTGGATTTTCAGGAGTTTCTACGGTGCCGGACTTGGAGTCTGACGGTATAGTGTCACCCAGGTGTATGCCACATTGCTCTACAGTTGCTGCCATAGTTGCTGCATAAATTCATCATCTTCTCGATTCGGATTTTGTCAGGTGGTATTCCTCACGGAGCTTCAGTGAAAGTCTATTGCTCACAGATGCTGAAAGAGATATCCGAGAGTTGGCCAAGAAGTGCGGATTGGATGCGAACACAGTGGACAAGGCGATGCAATGCAAGATATCCAAGATATATCAAGATATCTATGTTTGAAGTATTTTGAAGATTTGTTGTTTCACAAAAGGACGGAGCAACAGATTGGGTACCACAGACAGAAGGAAAACTTGGCCCTTCAGCTTTGGAACTCCTGAAGTCAGTGAGTTTCGTCACTGACAGTGACTGAGTTCGTTTGGATCGTTTCTGCAGGTGAAGGAATATTTTGATGCCGCGGACACTGACGGTTCAGGACAAGATTTAGGATGCTAACCTTGCACAGAGTCTGCCACAGCACACGTTCCAGGAAACATTCAGTTCACCGAGTTTGGCGCCTTAGTTTTTTGCACACTTGAAACTTCCAGAACCGTATTTTGACTGGACTTCCGACGCAATGCATTTGTGTTCAAACGGGTTCAAACACGTTTAACAACGGAATTGATGCCGAAGAGTTGCTGCGTCACACGGTGCCCGAAGGTTTGCAGAGGTGTTGCCTCGGATGCTGAAATTACCAGCAGGCTTCGAATTGCCGGAAAGTCCCAGAACTCAGACACGCAGCACGCTGTATCACGCAGTATCGTGCAGTCACTCAATCGTTGTTTTTACTGTCAAAACATTTCCAAAAAACTATCCAGACTGATCAAAACTCAATTTAACGAAGAACTTGAAGCTGTCCTTGACCGTCTTTATTTTGTTATTCCTAGAGATTGACAGATGGTATCAGATGGAACAAAGAAACATTGCTGAAAAGAGCAGAACTTTTGGATGAGGCAGCTGAGGCCAGTTTCTTCACTGCTGACTATGCTGACTTCACTCTGACTTCACTCGACTTAGGTCGCATCCGTCACTTCTGGTCGGAGGAGGGTTGGAGTATCGTCGACACACGACTGCTCCAGTGTGGAAACAAGCAGCAAAAACATGACAAAACAAGACAAAACAAGGTCACATGGTGAAGGTTCAAAGTGTCAAGATATTAGTTCTGATCCCATTCAGTTACTAGTCCGGCAGGCTGACACGGACCATGATGAGACAATCGATCCAAGCTCAGTGCGGGGAGTGTTTTCCTGCACATGTAAGAATTGCCAGAAGCATCTTATGGAAACATTTACTGGCAAGATTCATGTTACTGGCGTACTCACATTTGACATCCTACTCGCAAGAAGTGCAAGGCTTCAAATAGAATAGCTGAATCTTGATGAACCTTGATCAATCTCGATGCCTAGTCACCTACTAGTCACCTACTAGTCACCTACTAGTCACCTACTAGTCACCTACTAGTCACCTACTAGTCACCTACTAGTCACCTACTAGTCACCTACTAGTCACTTACTAGTCACCTCCTAGTCACCTACTAGTCACCTACTAGTCACCTACTAGTCACCTACTAGTCACTTACTAGTCACCTACTAGTCACCTACTAGTCACCTAGTCCAGTGAGAGGCTGTGTCGCAGCATGGGACATTTACAGTATTCTCTGGCCAAGCACGGCGCAGTGGAGCCATGCCTCGTCACGATGGCCAAATTCTTTCAGCCCTTGCGATTTCATGTGCTCTACTGGGAAACAGGTGGCGGAGACTTCCCGGAAATCTGTGAGACCTGCCATGGGGTTTCCAAAGCATGGCACTGGCGGATGGACAACCTCCAGAGCTGTCTACGCGTTTGTGGGAAAGAGGGCCACGGCTTTCGTCGCGAAGTGGAAACTTTCACTTGTCTTGGTCCCAAGATGTGTATCAGCTCCTTGGCAATTCGAGGTTCGACCGAGCTTTTGGCTCGTTTCTGGCTCCGGAGAGTTTCCCCCTGTTTTGGTAGATTAAGATGGTGTCCAAAAGGCATGTGACATATTCTAAGCAAAGAAGACATGTCTGACTTTACACTATAATATATATATACTGTGAAACTTGGATGAGGCTTTGTCAAGCCCATTGCCAGGAAAACAAACGAAAGGTTCCGGAGTCTCCGCTACTCACTGCACCCAGAGGGGGCTGACTGTGTATGCAACACCCTGGTCCCAGAAACGGGGCCGCTATTTTCGAAGCCTTTCCTGCTTCCGGCAATATTGCGGCCCCGTTTTTGGAGCCGGTTTTTGGCCCTATTTTTGACATTTTTGGGACCACGAAAGAGCAAACAGGAGCTGCTCGACGGTCCTGACAGCCCGGATTTCGTCCATTTGCTGGCGCCAGCCTTCCTTCTGCAACGCAAGCCGCCATGGACACACACATCCGCATAATACCATGAGGGGACATGGTGCAGAAGCTGTTTTGAATCAGTGAAAAGTGTCCACTTTCCGGGGCCGCAAGAAGCCATGCTAACCTCTTGCGTTTTGGCAGCGTGCCGCCTTTACAACGCTTCTGTCAGGAAGCTGTTTTGCGTGCATCTTGGGAGAAGTGTGTGGCGTGCACTTGTTGCCGTGCATCCCGTCCGCATGCTTTGGAATATTCTATAGTATGCGGCCAAAGCGCTAAAAGGGACGTAATCCCTTATTTACAGGCGGGTTTGAGGGGCGTAATCGGGACGTACGAGGGGCGTAACCACAGATGGGAGGGACGTAATCCCTTATTTACATGCAGGTTTGAGGGGCGTAATCGGGACGTACGAGGGGCCTAATCACAGATGGGAGGGCGCGGGTTTGAGGAGCAATAGTCCACACGGGGCTCTGCACCCCTTGCCTGTTTTCGAGCCACATGCCTTCCCAAAAATAAACAGTTCGGTAGTGGAGAATGCATTTGGCTGTCAGTCGGCTTGTGCTCAAACGGTGCTGCCACTAGGGCCCGCTTTTGGGGCCGTATCCGCATATGAAACATGCATTCTTGATGGTGGGCCCTCAATGTATGTAGTTTGGGGCCTGATTCATTTCCCAATCTATTCGGTTTTTCCAAGCACAGTTCTCTCAATCCATGTTTTGGCCGAGGGAGTTTCTTGGCATGTGTTGAAACGTATTTTTCCAGGCTATTCTCTTCGTGACTTTTACGACCATTTGGCCGTGACAAAGTCCAAAGCTCTCACAGAAGACACCGTCATCGGCACAGCCATCCGAGCGCAGTCATCGCCAGTTCCAGGGGTCAAGGTGGAACACTTCTCCAGCAGGAGCCACATGAATATCACATGAATATCACATGAATATCATATGAATATCATGGATCTTTGGGAGAAATAAATAGAAATGAGGCAAACTAACTAAAGTAATACTAAAGCATTCGAATCTTGAGTTTTGGAGACCGGAACAAGTGGAAGCTGTCTTGGTTTAGAACATTTTGGAACCCTTTGACACGTGGTGTGTGGTGTCCGGTCGCAGCAAAAGATGTCAGGACTTGGAAGGAATATCTCGCCGGTTACGTATCTGAGATTCGTGGCTCGGACTCTGAGCATGAAGATGTTGAATGATGTGGATGAGAATCGGATGAGAATCGGATGAGAATCGATCGGATGATATGGTAGTTTGATGTAAGTTGATGTAACTTGATGTGACTTGAACTTGACACCGTCACATTCCAAGTCATAGCGAAGGATCCGAAGCAGAGAAAGATGGAGGCAAAGCAGTTCCCTTGCCAAGAACAATAAGCCTGCCTGACTTCCTGAGAAGTTCCCCAAATACCCTTGGTTAGTGAAGTGGAGTTCCTTCAAAACTCCAAGGAATATCTTGACATAGCAGTTTTATTCAATTGTGCCACTTTGTTTTGGAGTCAATCCAGTCAACGATTTCAGGTTGCAATCGAACTAGACCCCACTGGCCTCGAGCTTTGCCCACTGATCCCCCAGGGCAGTAGGGAAGGAAGCTTGGCCACAATTTTCCAGTGCTGGCAAGCTTCTGAGTGCTTCTTGATTCAGTTTGATCAGTTTGCAACCAATTTGGTCTGTTCAAATTAAGACTAATATGTTTGAGTTTGACTTTGAGGGAAATTAATATGCACTACCTCCTAAGAGTGGTAAGATTACAATACAATGATTTTGTGTCAGCTTGGGTACCGCAGTGCTAGGATGCCATAGGATGCCGTAGGCAGGAGTGTTCGAAATTGCATTCAGGAGCACTGACGAGGGTCCTGGACTCAGCACCATGTCACGATGAGGTGAAAAGTCATGGAAAGTCCGATTTCTCAAGAAACCACCTGTTGAAAGAATCAAATTGAAAGTTGCTCAGTTGCTCAGTTGCTCCGAGGTCATGATTCTGCTGGGTGGTCCTAACGGAATTGGCAGTTACCTGCGTCAAGTTCGGCAAATCTTGGCTGACGGCTCTGAAGGCTCTAAAGGTTTGCATTGCGGAATTTTACCGGTTCGCTTGCCTGGTGGAAAGCAGCACTCCTACGTCGCGCTTTGCGACGTCTTTATGTGGCATGATCGTCAGCAGTTGTTGCCAAACCTTACTGACATGCAACTTGACAGCATTTACACCATGTACACAGCATCTACAGCATCTACAGCATCCACTCTTTCTTCTTTGCTCTTCTTTCTATACTTGCTTGATCTTGTCTTGCTTGATCATTTTTAGTGTTCTTGGTTGGCTCCGTTGGCCAGTTGTTTCCATGCTTCTTTCTTGTCAACCGTGTTGGAGTGTTGAATGATTTCGCTTGGCAGCAGAGGATCAGGCTTGGGCCTTTTCGTTTTGCGAAACAGGCAGATGAATTGGCACGTCTCCTTGCCTTCAATATGCAGGAAATCCAGAAGAAGCTCCAAGATCCACCGGATCCACCATCACCGCGGAACGCTTCCGCTTCCAGTGGAACTTCCGAACTTCACACGAGAAAAGATGTGCTTCCCAGTGAGAGCTGTTCAGACGAAGAGATTGCTATTCAATTTGAGCGGGAAATCCTGCGTCATGGCGGCTACATCGAATGCAACCTTCTCTATGTTTGTAATCCTGGCCTTCGGAAATTACTCGGTGAGCGAAAATTGCTGCAATTTTTGAAGGCTCAACCTGCAGTTTTCTACCTGGGCACATCCGATGGGCAAGACATTGTGGGCACCTTGCGTTTAGCTGCCAGGGAACCAGCATCAACGCAAGGCCAGACATTGACAGCTTCAACAGCTTTAGGGCGCCAAGCCATGCGAGACTTGGAAGACGCTGTGGCCGAGTTCTGTGCCGTCTGGGTTCCAAAGACGGCAGCACACGATGCACCGTTTATCCCACGAGTTGCTCGAGACGGCCGAGTCTACAAAAAGCTCCAGGCCTTTGTGCGTCACTGCCCAGTGTCATCTTTGAAAGCCAAGACCGAGACAAGTGAGACAAGGGACACAAGTGACACAAGGGACACATGGGTCATGGAACTCCTTCATTTGCGGTTGTTTCTGCTGGACCGTCCACTGACCTTTGTGGTCAGTGATTCAGGGAAACCGTGCAACAAAGGTCTAAAGAATTGCTGCTGCCACTTGAAAGTAGCCTTGAGCAAGGAGGCAGCTGTGCAGCTTGAAACTAAAGCCGACCGGGAAGCAAAAAAAAACCAAAGGCAAAATGTAAAAAGTCCTGAAAAAACAAAAAGTTTCACAAATCTTGTTGATGTGGCATCTTTGCCACAGCTATTCTGCGACGGTGACATCTTTGTGATTGACAAGCCCAAAGATTTGTCAAGCCAAATCCTTCAAAGAGTCTACCAAAAGATGGCGGATGAGGAAGGACGTGGAAGACAGATCCATTGCTGCTTGGAGAATTCACGGAGAATCCATGGATCACAGTTATCATAAGTTGATCACAAATTCTCGGACTTATGTATTGTATTAATTTGTATTTGCCGCATTTGCCAGTTGCAGCTGGATCATGTCTCAAAATGTCGACTGTCTCGACTCCAAGGTTCGCAGCTGGACACGGAAGTTTCAGGTTGCTTGCTCTTTGCCTCAGTGCCGATCTTTTCCTTTGAGGCTTCGTGTGGCTGCCGGCTTCCTGCAGTCATGACTTGAGTTGTGCCAACATGATTGCATAATTATAGCATTACCAGTAGTACCGCACAAGGCGGTGGCGGAAGTTTCAAAAATAGGAAACTTGTGAATCACGGATGGCAGAGCGAAGCCACTGATGGACCGAAAGATGTTTGATGTCTCCTCTCTTTCTCTCTCTTTCCCTGACTATCTACCTACCTACCTATCTATCTACCTATGTATCTATCGATCTATCTATCTATCTACCTATCTTTCTATCTATCTATCTATCTACCTATCTATCTATCTATGTATCTATCTATCTAACTATCTATCTATCTGTCTATCTATCTATCTCTCTCTCTCTCTTTCATCTGTCTATCTGTCTAGCTGTCTACCTGTCTATCTGTCTATCTATCTATCTATCTGTCTAGCTGTCTACCTGTCTATCTGTCTATCTATCTATCTCTCTCTCTCTCTCGCTTTCATCTGTCTCTCTGTCTAGCTGTCTACCTGTCTATCTGTCTATCTATCTATCTGTCTATCTGTCTACCTGTCTATCTGCGGTGCAGTGTCATTCAGTGTAATGTAGTGTAGTGTAGTGTAGTGTAACTTCGTGTAGTGGAGTGCAGTGGAGTGTAGTTGTGTAGTTGTAGTGGAGTGTAGTGTAGTGTAATGTAGTGAAGTGTAGTGGAAGGTAGTGTAGTGCAATGTAGTGTAGTGGAGTGTAGTGTAGTGTAATGTAGTGAAGTGTAGTGTATTTTTGTGAGTGCAGTGGGGTGTAATGTAGTGGAGTGTAGTTGTGTAGTTGTAGTTGTAGTGTAGTGGAGTGTAGTGTAATGTAGTGAAGTGTAGTGGAAGGTAGTGTAGTGTAATGTAGTGTAGTGAAGTGTAGTGTAATGTAGTGTAGTGTAGTGTAATTTAGTGTAGTGGAGTGTAGTGGAGTGTAGTTGTGTAGTTGTAGTTGTAGTGTTGTGTAATGTAGTGTAGTGGAGTGTAGTGTAGTGGTGTGTAGTGTAGTGTAATGTAGTGTTGTGAAGCGAAGCGAAATCTGAACCTCCAAAAGTGGTCCGAACCCCTGGTGTTTTTAACTCGAAATGCCAACAGTGGTCCGCACCCCTAGTGTTTTTAACATTTTGACTTGGAAATGTGCTTCGTGCCACAACGGCGTGCACTTTTTCGACATTTCAAGTGCCAAAAGTGGTCCGCACCCCTAGTGTTTTTAACATTTTGACTTGGAAATGTGCTTCGCGCCACAACGGCGTGCACTTTTTCGACATCGCAACTTCCAAAAGTTGTCCGAACCCCCTAGTGTTTTTAACATTTTGACTTGGAAATGTGCTTCGCGCCACAACGGCGTGCACTTTTTCGACATCTCAAGTGCCAAAAGTGGCCCGCACCCCTAGTGTTTTTAACATTTTGACTTGGAAATGTGCTTCGCGCCACAACGGCGTGCACTTTATCGACATCTCAAGCGCCAAAAGTGGTCCGCACCCCTAGTGTTTTTATCATTTTGACTTGGAAATGTGCTTCGCGCCACAACAGCGTGCAATTTTTCATCTCTCCTCTGGCCAGCTGGCTCCGCACCCGCTGCTGTAGCGAGCCTACTTTTCGACCCTCCGGAGCCACAAATCATTTGAAAAACACAGTGAATCGCGACTTTCCTACCTTCGCGCATCTCCATCTTCTTCTTCTTACTCTTTCTCTTCTACTCTTCTCTCTTCTGATCTTTCTCTTCTACTCTTCTCTCTTCTGATCTTTCTCTTCTCTCTGCCTCTTCCCTGCTCTGCTTTTCATTTGTCCATATTGTCGGAAGTTTGACTTCTAAACTTCCTTCGGTTATAGCATAGACGGATGCATCCGTATGCATCCTCCACATTCAACCTGTCCCGATCCGGCTCAGGCAACCTTTTTGGCTGTCGTGCATGGTAGCCTGCCAGAACCTCGTGAGATCGCTGCAAAGTTGCTCGATTTGGACACGCACCAACTTTCACGAAAGATTCTGGTTTATGGTCTGGAGTCTATGGGAATTCCAACCTGCCGGAGCATGGTTCTTCAATCGGGCTCACGATACTTTCAAATGGTTTACAGTACAGTCAGCTCACTGTTGGTTGTGGCTCAACATCCTCAAGTCTCATTTCTCTGAATTCGAACTGGTTAGATCTTATTAGCGTATAGCCATGTATGCCCTGCAAAGCTTCAAAGTCAAGATCTTCCATGATGTTCGCATGTGCCGGCTGTATTCGGTGCTTCCAGGCTACATGTTGTTCACCACGGCAAGAAGACAATCGCTTTCGTGTCACACAAGGGGCAGCCTGCCCACAGCGTTTTCACTCCACTCAAGGAATGGAAGCCGAGCTAAAATTAATGTTGCTTCGTCCAATCAAACAGATGCCCTGAGCTTACTAAAGTTATTCAAGCACTATTATTTATCATTTTTTCAGATCCTCAAATTGTGAATGATTGGTTTGGACGAACGATGAAGACCCAAGCATGCCTTAGTAAGTATGCATTGTGACAATTCGATGCCATTCGCTTCTTTTGTCGGTGTAGATTCAAATTCTGGTGCCATTAATATGTTTGCCATGTTTGCCATGTTTGCTCAGGATAGAGACGGCTGGTGAAACTGTGACCTTGGTGGAATCTTCGAGTTCAGCATGGTTCCTTTTTGCTATCCAACTCATCCAACTATCGCATCAGAATCTATCACTTGCATCTGTTTCTACAAGACAAATCGAAGATTCAAATAGATTCCAACAGATTCAACTTCATATGTTAAAAGAGTTGAAAGACTTGGAAGATTCAAAAAGACTCAGGAATGCAGATCGACGACAAGGGTATTGCACCAGATCCGTGCACACTTGGCTCACATTGGCCACCCAGTGCTGGGCGACAAGCTGCAGCTTTGCTCAAGGTTTGTTCATGTTCCAACCCAAAAAATAAGACAGCAGCCTGCTTTTCTCACTTTTCTTGTTCAAGGATATTTTTTTGAACTTTTTTTGCAATAATTTGGAATCCAGGAAGTGCCAGGAAGCAGTGAGATTCATCCTTTGTCAAGAAAATCTCAACGATGCTGGGCATCGTTCTAAGGTATGGCAAGAGCACTGCACCAAGCTGGTGCTCAGGCTCCGTTTGCTCACTACCTCTACGGTTCTCACATAGCCCGGTACCGGGATGTTCTCACAATATGGAACTGATATGGATCTCGGATATTTCGGATATAAATAGGATATTTCGGATATTTAAGAAGTTCTTAATTAAGAAGTTCGATCTTGTTGGATCCTGTACCTGTCTGCGTTGCAGGTATTTGCCTACACTGCAATCGGATCGCTGGCACGGCAAGAAGCTCTTTCCAAGCTGAGAGCGAAGCACCTTTCCTGCCCAAAGGCACCGAGGAAAAATCGCGGCGCTGTGGGAAAGACTCCAGCAATCAATGGATGTCAACGGTATGTCAACGGTTTGCCCAGGTTTGACCAGGTTTGCCCATTGCTTTCGTCAACTTTATGGTTCAGCCATTTCCTGAGGTTTTTTCCGAGTTCCTAACCTGGTGGTGCAAGGCCACCTTGCGGTGAAAGTTTGGCTTATGTTTTATGAGTCTATGACTATGCCTCAAATCTCAAAATGTGCATTGCATTTTGCTGCATATATTGCATGCTGCTTGCAGTACCTCACCGGAGAAACCAACGTCCAAGACTTTGTTCGCGTGCAGAACGCAGAGATTGTGACGAATTTTTACAGGTCCTTGAGGTGCGGAGATGTGAACCTTCTTGAATCATACGCCTTCAATGTTTCACAAAGATACGATGCTTAGAGGCTTAGATTGATTGCTTAGGACACGGGACTGAAAAAGATGTATGCATTTTACATGCCACTCTTTAGACCCGCCAAACCCGCGAGAAGACACTTGCATTTTTCTTGCCAGAAAAGTGACGCCAAACAAGCATGTTCATTCATTAATCATTATTAATCATGCGGTTTCTCGTTGTTGTGCATCCATCAGGTACATGGAGTGACACTATGCAGGGTTTGCCCCCACCAATCATTGACCAATCATGACAAAAAGTTGCCTTTTTCGACGGGTGAATTGCGCCAGATCTCAAGTCATGTGTGAAGCTGGGTAACATGCTGCAAACCACCTTGGTCAGAAGGATTGCTAAAGATTGCTCAATGCCTTAAAACGGAAAGTAGTTCTGCGACAAGAACATTTGATGCCAAGTCGTGACGCTCGCCGCTATCTGCTCTGGTGAAGCGCAGGCACATGGGGAAGATGAAGTTTGACCCACCACCAGAGATCAAGCCGCCACTCAGTCAAAATCAGTCACATGGAGGGAATGGAGGGAATGGAGGAAATGGAGGGAATGGAGGGAGCGTGAGGTCAAAAAGATGCTCTACTGCAATTTGAACGGTGTTGAAGAGTCTGGACACAGAAACTGAGTCCATCAATACTCGTCCCATGTTTAACATGAGCTTTGGATTGTTTTCCTTTTCATTGCTGAGTGGTTCGGCATCACACTTCAGGACCCAAGATGATTCGGAAGAGGAACTTGTGCGCAGCAGTAGTACCTTCTACCCGAGTGTTCCGATGTAGTATCGAAGGCAGCAGAGTTTGTCTTAGCTGGATGTCAAAGACACATCCAAGTCCTCAAAGAGGAAAGCTGCAGAAAGTGCTCGGCGCGCAAAGCGGCGGTCCTTGAAACTTGGTTTGTTTCGGTTTGTTTCGGTTTGCCTTTTTTGAAATTTCAGTACTTGGAATTTCCCAGGCAGAAGCGGGTTCGACTCTCCGAAGATTTGCCCAAAGGCCTCCTGAAAATGAGTTCAGACTGTGCTTGGAGCGAAACGGCTGCAGCTTCTGATGTCTAAATTGATCCAAGGAGTGGACTTCTATGAAATCCTTGGAGTGGACAAACTTGCTTGAAGCCAAGTAAGCCAACTGAGCCAATTGAGCCAAGTAAGCTAAGTAAGCTGAGGCTTTGAGGTGGTTGTTTTCTGGTTGTTTTCTTCGATCTTTCGGAGATTTGAGGCCACACAGGATGAGATCCGTTCAGCCTACAAACGTCGCAGCCTCCAAAACTTGGAGCAACGTGGCAACGTGGCAACGTGTCGCCTAGAACTCTGGAATTGTGCCTGTGAGGCGTGATCCGAGAGTCCCATCCCGATGTGAATCCGTCCGCAGATGCAGCCGACAGGTGGTTGAAGACATGTTGGAAACTACGTTCATGGAAACATATGGAAACATATGGAATCTATGCTGAAGAACTATGTTGAAGATGATGTGGAGAAATGAGACACACAGTGACACACTGCGCATCGGTGCGCCAGGTTCATCCAAGCGCAGGAGGCATTTCGTTGGCTCAGCGACCCGCAACAGCGTGAGGTCTACGCCTGGAGCCAGAGCATGGTGCAAAAACCAGAGATGACGTGTAGAGATGCATAGATGGCATAGATAAAGACATGATGAAGACATGATGAAGACATGAAAGATATTCAAAGATGGTAGGATCTTGTTGATGGAATGCGAGGGTGACATGAGGTAGACTTGTTTAGTTGAAAGCATCTGACATGTCTAAGGATGGGGTCGGTGGCAAATTTGGCGAAGATGCTCTTTACGCAACTTGACGTGATGGTTCAAGCTGCAATGTACTTTAGGGAGCATTAAAAATGGAACAGCAGAGGTACCTGGCTGATGCTGCCAGTTATGTTGGTGGTATTTCCAGGACTATTCGGATGAGCCCATCCTTGGTTCCCTCTCCGAAATCCGTGCGATTGAGGCAGGGCTGCAAGCTGCCTTTGCAGAATATGCAGACATTCTTTGGCTGAGGAACTCACACCTGCTAGTTTTATGGTGAATGAGTGCCGGAAGGAGAAACTCATCAGCAATTCAGTTGAGTCAGTTACAGTCAGTTGAGTCGAAAAATTTGGCACACTCTCAGCATTAGCGTTGGAAATGCAGCTGCTTCGTTCGCTCAACTGAACGCACACTTTGGCTTGCCCGTCTTGCCCTGCCGACAACTAAGTGTCACCGTAAGAGCAGAAGCCCTTCGCTCAGCAACTTCTGTAAGTTGCAACCTTGAACCCAGAAGATGAAAGTGACAAAGTGACAAAACAGAGCACTTGACGAAATTGGAAACCACGTTAACCACGTTGGACGCAACTCCAAGTTGAGTACCGATGGACGAGGTGAAGATCCAGCATCACATCACAAACATTCGTCAGAGATTTAGGCACGACAGGGTACGAAAAGGCGAAAAGGCCATGGGATGGTCACGGAGAGTCTGACGTAGTCCGGACTGTCCGACTGTCTGACTAGCTTTGTTTGCTTTGTTTGGCGCTACATCTTGTGAAACGCAAAGCCTTCAGATGCCTTCAGGGTCTATGGCGCAGAACGCTTGAAGTATGTGAGGCATCGGCCTCAGTACAGCGATAGGTCCAAGGGCGGTGAGTCCGCCGCCGTTGAAGCGGTGCACCAAGGGGCCAAGAGTGGCCAAGTATTGCGATTTGTTTTGATCGCCTAGGAATTTCTTCAACCGTCGCTTGAAGCAAGTCTTGAGTTATCCCAAACTGATCAGGCCATGGTCAAGTTGATTCTAGTTGGGCCTCATTGGGCTGTCTTGATTCCATCTTGATTCCTGTGTTATCCACTCTGGCTCCATTTTGAAACCGAGTTCGGATTGAACTTTGAGACGTTCGAAACTGTCCGGAACTGGAACGTTGTCAGGAGGCTTCATCCATTCGAGCGACTGAGCGTTGAGTTGGCTCTCACACATCACTGGAACAAGGTGCAGTTGTCCACAGCACAGCAGAGTCGTTTTGCTGAAACACTTAAGTTCACTTTCTCACTTCATCCATTTGGAAAGGCAGCTTTACTGTAGATTTCAGAAGCAGCTTTGTTCTAATTTTGTCTTGTCGTGCTATTCTTTGGCAGACCGGGGTGGCCTTCGGCAAAATTCTTGCTTGTTTGGACCACAGTTTGTGCAATCAGCTACTGTATGCAATTGCTACGTCAGAATGTAGGGTTACATCCAAGAAGATTGTAAAGGGTTAGATCCAAGAAGTTTGCCTGTGGAAATGATGAGCTTCATTTTATCCATTTCGAAACGTTCCCAGACATGTGTGAATACGAACTGCGCCAGAAACGCTTGATCTCCTGAGGTCTCAAGCAACTGCGCATTCAAATCCATGAAATCGGAACCCACAGAGCCAACCAAGCGATGGTGGTTCGCATCTCAGCGTCTGAATCAAATGATGTCGATAGTGTTCGCCTTGATTTCACAGGCAGAGCGAGGCAGACTGGCAACTTTCATTGCTGACGAAGGCATTGAGGACTCCTTGTTTCGTGAGGTGAAACCTGTCACATGATGTCACATGATGTCACATGATGTCACATGATGTCACATGTTCAACATGTTCAAGAAGTTTCGGAACTTTGCTTTGCACCTGTCACACCATGGAACCACAATGATTTGATGCCAAGGAGATTTTTGACCTTGTCACAAACTGGGAGCCTGTCTTCCAGCAATTCATTGGCTGTCAACAGGTCTGGGAATACCACCGTTTTTCCTTAGCTGAAACCCATAAATCCATATAAATCCAGATTCCGGGTTTCCTTGTTCTTCAGGCCATCTTCAAATCGCCGTGCATCGATCTAGATAAGCCCACCGTTGGTGGCCAAGTTGACACAGCGTTTGCATGAGATATAATATGATATAATCCAATCCTGCAAAGGATTGTTGATTTGGACCACAATCAGAGAATGAAACGAAGTTTCAGTGGCTATCCTTTTTGGAAGATAATATTCAAACTATGTTCTCTGAAATTCAATGATGCCTCAGGTTGTTTTTGTTGGAGCTCCAAATGTTGAACTCTTAGAAGTTTCACTCTTGTCAACTCATGAGTCATTCAGAGTGCACAAATGGCAAGGTGGGTAAATCTTCTTTGGTGCGATCTATCTCCACCGGCAGACCCGAGGCACCGGAGACAGGGTCAAGAGATGAGCGCACCATCCGTGCCATAATTGGGCATGCAATGCTTGAAGTGATCCAAGGTCAATAGCTATCCATACACCACGAGGCAGCTCACCATTGGCGGTTCACCCAGGATATAGGTGAAGCGCCACACAATATAGAAATTTAGAATGAAAACACCGTTATTCGCCGATCACTCAGACCACTCCCAGACCACAGTGACTCTGATCACTCCGACCTAAGGGCATTTGTGGCATTTCATTGCTGGCACACCTTTGCTGATCCACGGTGGATCCTCAGAGCCCAGTTCAGGTTTTGCGGATTGACAACACGTTGACAACACGTTGACAACACATCAGAGCGTTATGCAATGTGTTAACAGTATTTGACAGTGTTAATGTGTCGGCAATGTGGCACTGAACCAGGTCAGATTGTGGACTCTCCTGGTTTGAAGTTTGGGCCAGGCTGGGCTGGTTTCTTGACACTCCGCTGTAGTAACACCAAACAAGATGCAGCCCACGAACCCGAATGCTCACACGTATGTTCATGGTACAGATGTCGAAACACATGGATATGCAGTCAGGCAGAACACTTTTCTGCAATAGTTTATTTGAACATTCTTGTACAAATTTCCCCTGCTACCAGTCTGCAGTGTGGACTGGAAAGTGTAGAGTGTGGAGTGTGGAGTGTAAAGTAAGGAGTGTGGAGTGTACAGTGTGGAGTGTACAGTGTGGAGTGGGGAGTGTAGAGTGTGTAAAGTGTGTAAAGTGTGTAAAGTGTGGAGTGAGGAGTGTAAAGTGTGGAGTGAGGAGTGTACAGTGTAAAGTGTAAAGTGTGGAGTGTAGAGTGTAAAGTGTGGAGTGTAAAGTGTAAAGTGTAGAGTGTAAAGGCTAGAGTGTAGAGTGTGGAGTGTAAAGTGGAGAGTGTGGAGTGTGGAGTGCAAAGTGTGGAGTGAGGAGAAGTGTAAAGTGTGGAGTGAGGAGTGAAAAATGTACAGTGTAAAGTGTGGAGTGTAAAGTGTAGAGAGTGGGGTGTGGAGCGTAAAGTGTAGAGTGTGGAGTGTGGAGTGTAGAGTAAGGAGTGTGGAGTGTAAAGTGTGGAGTGGGGAGTGCAGAGTGTGTAAAGTTTAGAGTGTGGAGTGAGGAGTGTAAAGTGTGGAGTGAGGAGTGTAAAGTGCGGAGTGTGGAGTGTGTAAAGTGTAGAGTGTGGAGTGTAGAGTGTAAAGTGTACAGTGTAACGTGTAGAGTGTGGAGTGTAAAGTGTAGAGTGTGGAATGTGAAGTGGAAAGTGTAGAGTGTGGAGTGTGGAGCGCGGAGCGCGGAGTGTAAAGTAAGGAGTGTGGAGTGTAAAGTGTGAAGTGTGGAGTGTAAAGTATGGAGTGTGGAGTGTAAAGTGTGGAGTGAGGAGTGTAAAGTGTGGAGTGAGGAGTGTGGTGTGTGTAGAGTGTGGAGTGTAAAGTGTAGAGTGTGGAGTGTAGAGTATAGAGTATAGAGTGTAAAGTGTAGAGTGTAAAGTGTAGAGTGTAAAGTGTAGAGTGTGGAGTGTGGAGTGTAAAGTGTGGAGAGTGGAGAGTGGAGTGTAAAGTGTGGAGTGAGGAGAAGTGGAAAGTGTGGAGTGTGGAGTGTAAAGTGTGGAGTGGGGAGTGTGGTGTGTGTGTGTGTAGAGTGTAAAGTGTAGAGGGGTGAGGAGTGTAAAGTGTGGAGTGCATTGTCGCGCCAGCCACACAAAAGAACTTTCGACAAGGTATGTCACAAAGCGCCGCGCCTGCCACGCAAAACGACATGACAACCTGCTTGGAAACCTTCGAAAAGGAGAGGTTTTGCAGCTACTCCCATAGACACGGCGACGCCACAGGAAAACCAGAGACTCGAGACGAGACATGTGGGCGCAGCAAAACGAGCACTTTGCGCGAGAATTCCGCTAATTTTGACACTTTCGACATGGCAAAAAACAAGTTGGAATGTCACAAAGTGCCGCGCCTGCCACGCAAAACGACATGACAACCTGCGTGGCAACGTTCAAAAAGGAGGGGTTTTGCAGCTTCCCCCATAGACACGGCGAGGCCACAGGAAAACCAGAGACTGGAGACGAGACACGTGGGAGCACCAAAACGAGCATTTCGTGAGAGACTTCCGCCACTTTTGACACTGTGTAGCTTCAAAATCGACGTTTTCCTATGAGTTTTCTTAGGAACCTCTAAATTTTGCTTCCTCAAAATCGATGTTCGTGCGAGGCTTCCGTCAGTTTTCAGCACATCTCACAAAATGCCACGCCTGCCACAGAAATTGCACCTTGTCGCCACTTGACGCAGCCCTGCCAATGCGATACGTCTAAAGTGCTGCGCCTGCCACGCAAAATGACGATGGACACGTCCAAAGTGCTGCGCCTGCCACGAAAAATACAACCCATCTTCTGAAACCCTCGCAAAAGTATTGCGCCTGCCACACAAAATGACTGTCGACACGTTACAAAACACGTCTGAATGTCACGAAGTGCCACGCCTGCCACGCGAAACGAAGCAACCACAAGTTTGAAACCTACAAAAAGCACCCCTTCTGCAGAACTTCCCATAGGCACGGCCATACGGGGATCGCGCGAACGGTTGCGGACGGTTGCGGACGGGTGTGGACGGTTGCGACTACAAACGCAACGTCGAGCGAACACACACTCAACCCCCAGACCCCCAGAGTGAAACGGGAACCCTTGCTACGCATTCGGGAAAAAAACACTGAAACAACCAGGTGGAAACCACAATCTGATGGACAAACTCACCATGGGTTGGGCGCTCGGATGTTGTCAAGAGCCATCGAGTTAGTCCCTCATCGATCCCGAAGAGGTAAAGACATCATTTGTGATTGCGTGCTATTGAGTTCATCTTCTCCCGCAGCCAACAGCCCCATTCCAACTCTCTCTGAGGTTCCATGGACCACTTGCCCACTGGTGTGGTGTTTGTGTTTGATCCATACCCGTACACACACGGGCTTGCAACTCAGCAGTTGCTGTGGATCAAGTCTACCCCCAGCGTGGCCTGCCAAAAATAATGATATTGCGAAAGCTATCTTCTGCTAGAAGTGCCTCTTTTAGCAAGGTATTGGGGGGCTGGAATCTCCAATCTCGTGAAGCTTCACAGTTAACAGAGTTTAACTAGCCCCCTGCATTGTCTTTGGAAGGATGAACATCCGTCACAGCTTTTCATCATGTGCAATGGCCTAATGGCCTTTGTGTGTTGTGTGTTTCCATGCGCTCCCATGTTGGGAACGAGGCTCCTAGATGTGGATGAGCAAGTGAAGCTTCGGAATTCCCTCAGGCCAGGACCACCCGGATTCTACAATGAATTGGACGAATGGATTTGTGATGATTTGTGCAGACACAAGATACGCAAGTTTGTCAGGGCAAGATTTCCTCGTCGGCCATGGCTTGACGTGATCAGCAAGATCGACGTTGAGGAGGAAGAAGCCAAGGCTTTGGCGAAGAATTTCGTGAATTTTGTGAATCCATTGCAACTCCCGTTGGCTTCGCTCTGGCGTTCTGCGCCTTCTTTGTTGCCACGTGCACAACAGGACAATATTTCCAAGCTGTCGGGAGCTGAGTTAGCCAGCAAAGATGTTCACAGACGTAGTGGCGACAGTCCAACGGCAGTCCAAGGATGGATCTATTTCCAGATGCGCTTCAGGCGTTGAAGATGACTTGAAGTTGACTTTGAGATGACTTAGTTTCACGTCATTTTGATCACCTTTTGATCACCTTTTTGTGCAGTGCTGTTGCGAGAGTTTCAATTGAGGTAAGCGCCTTTGATGGCACTGGCCTGGATGACTTGAATATGGAGGTCCATGACTTGATGTTGGAAGCTGTTGGAGCACGAGATTTGAATGTTCAAATTTGAGGTGCGTGGATTGCTGGAAGAGATGACAAAGGCGACCTTAGAAAATAGCAACAAGCACCATCCACCTCAACTTATGACATCAACTGCAGCTGTACCGTCAAATCACGGCATACCTTTTTCCACATGTTCTGAAACCTAGCACGCCTGACCTAGCGGACCGAGCATCGAGCGGCTTAGATTTTTTGCCGCTCTTGGAGGTGGTTCGACAACTGCAGCGAACCAAGATCCGACAACTTCGCATGGGAGATGAGGAAGTGGAGTGGGTCAGCAAGGAGGTGAGCCCGGGAGGGAATTGCAAAGGCTTGCGGAGACCCCAGTGCATTTGTTGGATACTCTTCGGACATTTTCGGAAATCATCAAGGTCCGGGTCCATTCGAAAGTCACATCCATTGTGGGGACATTGTTGTTCTCTTCCAAAGAAGATGTTGTGGGAGCAGGGAAACACCATCGAACCGTGCAGGCATTGGCTTTGCGATGAGATGGAAAAAATTATTGCTGCATGCATCACCTGTGCCGATTTCAAAGCCCTCCGCTCTTCACGTCCAGAGTCCGAGTCCGATGTTGCAGGGTAAATTTTCCCCGAACATTGTCTTTCTTCCTTTGCATTTCATCTCATTTTTCCCCAAGCACGTTCTTTGTGTGATTGTTTTCTTTTCCTACATATGGAAGTCATCTCAATCCCACAATTTAGTTTTCACATGAATACTTTACTAGTGTGCCCAAATGCGTAGCGAAGTGTTCTCGTTTATCTTCGGGGCGCGCCGCAACTGTCCGCAAGAGCCCGCAAAGGTCCGCAACCGTCCGCAATGAGGATCATATGGCCGCACCTACAGCGGGTGCAGCAAAAGTTTTTATGTTTGACAGGTTTCAAATACGTGAAATGTCGTTTTGCGGGCGAGGCGTGGTATTTCGTGACATTCTAACGTGTTTGATAAAGTGTCGAAAATCTGTTTGTGTGACAGGCGAAATACTTGTGAACAGTCTTCTCAAGATGACTTTCATTTTGTAGGTGCAGCACTTTGGAGATGTCCGCCTACCTTGTTTAGCAGTAGTAGGCGCAGCAGTTTTGACGTGTGGTATTGCGTGCTTGTGCGAATCCCATTCGAACTGCTACGTCATGTGATGACAAAATGCAAATATCATGGCAGGCGCGGTGCATTTTGATAGTCTCATTTTTCTTGGCAAGCGAAGTACTTGGGGCATCTTGTGGCCAGGGAACGGCTGTGCGAGCTAGGATGTTGCATTGGTTTTTCGAGCCAGTTTGTCAGGTTGCAAGGATGATGGTGTGAGCTTCCTTTCACTAGTCACTTTATACTTCGCACTCTACACTCCCATTCTGCACGCTACATTTTGTATTTAAAG